TAATATCATATTCGTAATTACCAAAATTTTCCTCATGTTGTTTTCGTCTTACATCGACCCCCTTACGGTACGATTATTCACGGAATTTTTTTTATGACGTGAAATATTCCCCGAAAAATGCAGATTCTACCCTGCACAAGACATTTGTTTATGGTACTTTTTAAAGACAAAAATTACCCTGAGGGGGACTTTACACGAAAATATTTATTCTTCTTAAATAACATCGCTTCACAACTTTTTAGTATTACTATTATCTCCCCTAAGGCTAATTTTGTATTTACAAAGTAAGATAACAGAAATGTCACGTCTTTTGGATATTACATGGAATAAAAAAGATTCCTTAAACTGGGGGTACTTTCCGTAATTTAGCCTAAGTTCATGAGGAGTTTCGCAATTTATCCTATTAACAACGATTGTCGTTCTTTTCACGTCTTAACGTTTTCTTACACCCTTATACAATTTTAAATAATTTTAATGTCAGCTTGATAATATAATTAAATATTAATTTCTATAATATTTAATATGTGTTTTTGATGTTTGTGGTACCACACATAAGGAATTTGATATAAAAGTTGCGAGATTGAATAAAATTGTTTTTATACAAAATAATAGATAATTGCAAACACATTGATGCAAAATCAGAATTAGGATTGTGATTAGTATTAACATTAAAATTAGGATTATAATTATTATTCTTTGAATTAGTATTAGTATTAATACTATAGTTAGGATTCGGATTAATATAGTATTATAATTAATATTATGATTAGGATTATCATTATGATTATGATTAATATTAGTAATTGAATTATAATTAAGATTATGATTATTGATTAGTACTACAATTAGTGACATGTATTCGTATTATAATTATGATTAGTATTAGGATTAGGATTATGGTTAGAATTAAAATTAGAATTATAATTATAATTAACATTAGCATTAGCATTAGTATTATTAGTAATAAAATTATTAGGATTATAATTAATGTTAGAAATAAGTTTAGGATTAGAATTATGATTAGGATTAGAATCATGATTAGTGTTATGAATAGGATTAGGAATAGGATAAAATTTGGATAATATTAGTATTACAATTATAACTAGCATAAGCAAATCCAGATTAACATATTAAAATTAGTATTAGCATTATAATATGTACATTAGCATTAACATTAACTATTTTAACATATTAGTATTAGAATTAATATAAATATTAAGATTAGTATTAGTATTAGTATTAATATTAGTATTAGTAATAGTATTAGTAATAATATTAGTATTAATATTAGTATTAGTAATAGTATTAGTATTAATATTAGTGTTAATATTAGTTTTAATATTAGTATTAATATTAGTATTAATATTAATATTAGTCTAATATCAATATCTTGTGCAATATCAATATCAGTATCGATATCATTATCGGTATCGACATTAGTATCGGCATCAGTATCGGTATCAGCATCGGCATCGGCACCGGTATCGATATCAGTATCGGTATCAATATTAGTATCAATATCAGTATCATTATCATTATCAGTATCAGTATCAGTATCAATATCAGTATCAGTTTCAGTTTAAGTATTCGTATCCGTATCAGTATTAGTATCAGTATCAGTATCAACATTTGTATCAATATCAATATCAGTATCAGTATCAATATCAATGTCTATATCATTATCGATATTAGTATCACTATCAGTATCAATATCAGTATTAGTATCAGTATCAATATCAATATTCGTATCAGTATTAGTACGGGTATCAGTATGATTGTGAGTATCAGTATGAGTATGAATATCATATTAGTATGAGTATCAATATTAGTATAAGTATCAGAGTATGAATATTAGTATTAGTATTACTATGAATATCAATATGAGTATCGATATTAGTATCAATATCAATATCAATATTAGTATTAGTATTGGTATTAGTATTAGTATTAGTATTAGTATTAATATTAGTATCAATGTCACTGTAATTATCAATGTAAGTATCAATATTATTATTAGTATTAATATCAGTATTAGTCTTATTCTTAGTATTAGTATTAGTCTCAATATGAATATTAGTATTAATTTTAGTTTTATTATTAGAATTAGTATTAGTATTGGTACGAGTATTAGTATGAGTATTAGTATTAGTATCAATATTATTATTAATATCAATTATTATTAATATTTGTATTAGTATTAGTATTAGTATTAATATTAGTATTAATATTAATATTTGTACCAGTATTAGTACCAATATTAGTATTAATATCAATATTAGTATTAGTATGAGTATTAATATTAGTATTAGTATTAATATCAATATCGCTATAATTATCAATGTAAGTATCAATATTATTATTAGTATTAGTATCAATATTAGTCTTATTCTTAGTATTAGTATTAGTATCAATATGAATATTAGTATTAGTATTGGTTTTATTATTAGTATTTGTATTAGTATTGGTACGAGTATGAGTATTAGTATTAGTATCAGTATTATTATTAGTATCAGTATTAGTATCGGTATTAATATTAGTATTAGTATTAGTATTAATATTTGTATTAATATTAATATTAGTACCAGTATTATTACCAATGTTAGTATTAGTATTAGTATCACTATTAGTATTAGTATTAGTATTAGTATTAGTATTAGTATTAGTATTAGTATTAGTATTAGTATTAGTATTAGTATTAGTATTAGTTGAAGTATTAGTATTAGTATTCGTATTAGTATTAATATTCGTATTAGTATTAGTATAAGTATTAGTATTAGTATTAGTATTAATTGAATTAGTATTACTATTGGTAACATTATTGGTATCAGTATTGGTATCGGTATTGGTATCCACATTGGTATCAGTACTGGTAGTGGCGTATACATCATATTTCTTTTGCAATATTTATAACTTTTATTGTTGTTTGAGTAATGTGCATCACTAATTGATTGTCGTTAGTGATAAACTTGCAGGTTATTTGAATATCTATTGCGTTACTTCTATGCTACTGTGTTTGTTGTTACCTTAGTTATTTTGCAGCAGATTCACATGGTGTAGTAGATTGCAATCCAAGAAATAGAGTTATACCATATGTTTTAAATGATTTCACTTAATCTTGATATCGTGTTTTGCACGCTTCATGTTTTTTTATTTGTAATATTTAACTTTATTTCATATGTTAACTCAAATTAAGAGATAAAGTTTATGTTTTTTATTTCCTTCCATTTTGTTTTACTTAAATTGGTATTGTTATAAAGAGATAGTCGTAAGTTTATTTTTCTCATTTTGAAACTGACCTCCGTGCAACGCACGGGTGAAATACTAGTTTTCATATAAAGTTTTTTTTGTCCATTGCATCTTAGAAGGGTAATATTAATTTTACCCTAAGAAAAATACCATCTTCTTTTCCAAAAAAAACAATGGTGTAACTATTTTTTTAATATTTTTTTAATTTTGACATAAACAATTTGGGTATTTACCCATTTTGCATTTCTGAGGGGTAATATCCAATTAACCCTTGAATTTGACCATCTCTTTCAGCATCCAGAGGCAGAAAGTGGCAGAAAATAAAACGTGTAAAAAGCCTTCGAATTTGACTGACCTGGAAAAAGTAAAAAAACAATTTCCAGAAATGGTGAAAAAGAGTATCCATATTTTAATTCCAATAAATAAATAAATAAATTAAAAATAAAATAAATTACAACCCAACATGTGGCTGAGTCATCTATTGCAGAACCCACTTTAATTAAGCTCCTTAAGTTTATTATTAGTAAATGAAACATAATATTTTACCTAATTAATTATTAATTAATACTTCAAAGTAAAGACATTCATTAGGTAGTTGCTTCATAAGTAACATTCATTAGAAAAAAAAAAATTTAAAAATTGCAAACTGCACCATAAATGCCATGATTAATAATATTTATTTTTACAACTAAATCAGTATTAACTTCACAATAATAAATTCCCAAAATAAAGGCATAAATAAATAACTTAATTTTTGTTTGACTTTAATTTTCCCTTTAATTTTTTTTTTTTTTTTTTTGTTTTTGTTTACAGTGGTGGAATCAATGCAGATTGAATAATATATTTCAATATGTTACATTTTAATTATGACTGAAAATTAATTTAAATTATACTTGTTATGTAAAAACCAAGGAAAAAGACATTCTTTTAAAGGAACAAACAATAAAATTTGAGGTAAAATATAAATCTACAGGGCAATTACAAGTCACCAGTTTTCTGCTGCCACTGCTTCCAAAAGCAAACTATATCCGACAATAATAATGGCAAATTACGAAAACCCTCCTCTTATTTGGTTAATTACAATCACCCATCAACTATGTGTTATGTTACAAAAAAATCCTCCAAGGATAAGTTTAGGGATGTTAAATGAGTTAAAATGAACCGAAATTTAGGTACGCCAACATTTCATACCGTCTACCGAACTGAATATATGATTTGCTTCGGTAAATAACCGAAATACGTAAATTTTATGTAAAAATATTTAAGAGGGGAGTGACTGTAATTACCCAAACAAGAGAGGTTTTTTCATAATTTGGTCATACCTCAGGGGTGACCGTAATTTGCCCTAATAGCAATGATTTCCCCATGACCAAGCGGTTGGAGCAAGTGAGTCTGTGTGTTGGCCTAGCTTCGAAAGCCCTTACTAACGATCGCTAGGTCGAGCTTGATACACATAGTTAGCTTAGTGTGATTCACGTCTCTCATTTTGCGAACTATTATACGAGAGTGTAGGTTTATACATATATAGTTGGTTCCGAGTTCCTATATTTTTTTCTTTTTAAATAATAATAATAAAAAAATAATAATATAAAGAACACAAATAAGTGGATATTCAATAAGCTAAAATCCAAACAACTTACCTGGACAACAATTGAAAGATTGCAAATTAAAAAAAGAAAAAAAAAAAAAACCCTTAAAAATTAATTATACAAAAAAGAAAAGAAAATAATAATAAATAAAATAATAAAATAAATAAATAAATAATAGAGAAAAAAGAAAGTGGTGATGGATCGAGATCTCTGGTTTTCATGTATAAACAAAACCATGGGGTTCCGTTCTCAACAATCCCGAAGAAGTGATCAATTTACTTGCAGCCATGTCTGCAACTCTTAAACAAAACCCTTTTCCTTTTCCTTTTCCCGATACTTTCTTCTTCTTCTCTTTCTCTTTTCTTTTTCTCATTTTCTCTCTCCTCTTTCCATGCTGCTGTTCCATTGACGACCAGGGCCAAGCTCTGCTCGCATGGCGGAATACCTTGAACGCCTCCACCACCACCGTTCTCGATTCCTGGAACTCCTCCCACCTCAACCCGTGCCGCTGGTTCGGCGTCTACTGCGACTCCGTCGGCCACGTGGAGAAGATAAGCCTGAAATCGCTCGACTTGCAGGGCCCGTTGCCGGCGAATTTACAGGCGTTGAAATCGCTGAACACTCTCATTCTCTCGTCGACCAATCTCACCGGCCCAATCCCGAAGGAGTTCGGGGACTATTCCGAGCTGGTTATGATTGATATAAGCGATAACGCCATCTCCGGCGAGATTCCGGCGGAGATATGCCGGTTGAAGAAGCTGCAGTTCTTGTCACTCAATACCAATTCTCTCCAGGGGAATATTCCGTTGGAGATTGGGAATCTTTCGAGCCTGAAAAACCTCATGCTGTTCGACAACCAGCTCGGCGGCGAAATCCCGAAAAGCATCGGAAAGTTGGGCAAACTCGAGGCGCTGAGAGCCGGCGGAAATCAAAACCTGAAAGGCGAATTGCCGCCGGAGATTGGGAACTGCACGAACTTGATTCTCCTCGGCCTCGCCGAAACGGGCATCTCCGGCGGTCTACCGCCGACGATCGGAATGCTGAAGAGGCTTCAAACGATAGCGATATACACTTCCTTTTTGTCCGGTCCGATCCCGGAAGAAATTGGCAATTGCACCGATTTGCAGAACATCTATTTGTATCAGAATTCGATCACCGGCTCGATTCCGACGAGTGTCGGCGGGCTCGAAAAGCTCGAGAGTCTCTTCTTATGGCAGAACGCCTTAGTGGGTACGGTTCCGTCGGAGCTCGGAAACTGCAGAGAGTTGAAAGTCATGGACTTGTCGGAAAATCTGCTGACTGGACCGATTCCGGTGACCATCGGAAAACTTTCGAAGCTCGAAGAATTGCAGCTGAGTGTGAATCAGTTGTCGGGCACAATACCGAATGAAATAACCAACTGCACATCTCTCACTCATTTGGAGGTCGACAACAATGGCATCTCCGGCGAAATTCCGGCGAACATTGGGAAGTTAACGAGCTTGACCCTGTTTTTCGCCTGGAAGAATAACTTGACAGGGAATATTCCGGAATCTTTGTCCGAGTGCCGGAATCTTCAAGCGCTTGATCTTTCGTACAATAGCCTCTTCGGTTCGGTGCCGAACCAGATTTTCGGGCTGACGAATCTTACGAAGCTGCTCCTGCTTTCGAATAATCTCGCCGGTTTTATACCGCCGGATATCGGAAACTGTACGAACTTGTACAGGTTCAGGATCAGCGACAACAAATTGGGCGGCACTGTTCCATCGGAAATCGGAAAATTGAAGAGTTTGAATTTTCTTGATATGAGCAATAACCGCCTCGTGGGGGCGATTACCCCCGCCATTTCGGGTTGCGAAAGTCTCGAGTTTCTTGATCTTCACTCGAATGGATTTAGTGGCCCTCTTCTTGACAACACTCTGCCTAAAAGCCTACAGTTTGTAGACATTTCTGACAACAGGATTACGGGCCCACTCACTCCGACAATTGGTTCCCTCACCCAACTAACCAAGCTCAACCTCGGAAAAAACCAGCTCTCCGGTGAAATCCCACCGGAAATCGTATCATGTAGCAGGCTGCAGCTGTTGGATGTCGGCAGCAACGGTTTCTCTGGCGAGATTCCGGCGGAATTGGGCCGGCTCCCGTCGCTCGAAATCTCTCTAAATCTCAGCTGCAACCAATTCTCCGGCGAGATTCCGGCGGAGTTTTCGAGCCTCGTGAAACTAGGAGTTCTTGATCTTTCCTACAACAACCTCACCGGAAAACTGGACGCCCTCAAAACCCTCCAAAACCTCGTCTCCCTCAATGTCTCCTTCAACGCATTCTCCGGCGACTTGCCCGACACTCCCTTCTTCCAGAAGCTTCCCCTGACCGACCTCGCCGGAAACAAAGACCTGCGCATCTCCGGCGGCGGCGTTGTAACTCCGGCGGATGCGATGGACTCCCACAGCCGCCGCGGGGCCCGGACCACCATGAAGCTAGCAATGGGAATCCTAGTCAGCATCAGCGTCGTACTTGTTCTACTCGCTGTTTATGTCTTGGCCAAGACACACATGGCGAATAAAAACAATAAGTCGATGGAAAACGAAACGTGGGAGATGACATTTTATCAGAAGCTGGAGTTTTCGATCGACGACATAGTAAGAAACCTAGTTTCTTCAAACGTGATCGGAACTGGAAGCTCGGGAGTGGTGTACAGGGTGACAGTGCCAGATGGCGAGACGCTAGCGGTCAAAAAAATGTGGTCTTCGGAAGAATCCGGAGCTTTTGGTTCGGAAATCAGAACTCTAGGTTCGATCCGGCACAAGAATATTGTGAGGCTCCTAGGTTGGGGTTCGAACCAGACGTTGAAATTGTTGTTTTACGATTATCTCCCTAACGGGAGCTTGAGCTCGCTCCTTCATGGAGCTGGTAAAGGAGGGGCAGAATGGGAAGCTAGATACGATGTTGTTGTCGGAATCGCGCACGCGCTTGCGTATTTACACCATGACTGTGTGCCCCCGATTATGCATGGGGATGTTAAAGCGATGAACGTGTTATTAGGGCGTCGAATGGAGCCTTATCTTGCCGATTTTGGCCTTGCGAGGCTAATTAATGGCGACTCGGATAATTCGGACGATGCAAAACAGAGTCAACGGCCTCATTTAGCTGGCTCTTATGGCTATATGGCTCCAGGTATAAAAATGTTTTATTAATTTAATTAACATTTAATTCTTGTTTAAATTATTGAGAAGATTTTTTTTTTAATATTTATTGTTTTATTTTGCAGAGCATGGTTCGATGCAACGGATAACGGAGAAGAGCGACGTGTACAGCTTCGGCGTGGTGCTGTTGGAGGTTCTGACGGGGAGGCACCCGTTGGATCCAGGGTTGCCGGGCGGGGCCCATTTAGTTCAGTGGGTCCGAGATCACTTGCAGGGGAAGCTCGACCCGGTTGAGGTACTCGACCCGAAGCTGAAGGGTAGGGCCGACCCGCAGATGCACGAGATGCTGCAGACACTGGCTGTTGCTTTTCTGTGCCTCAGCACGCGGGCGGATGACCGGCCGATGATGAAGGATGTGGTGGCCATGCTGAAGGAGATTCGGTCTGTGGACCCCGTTAGGTCGGAAGATGACTTGTTGAAGGCGAGTTTGTCGGCGGCGGCAGCTCCTAAATCGCCGCCGCTGCTGCCGCCTAAGAAGGTGGTTTCGCAAGGGTCGTCTAGCTGCTCTTTCGTGTTCTCCGATGATTCTGTTTGATTTTAATTGTGCATACCTATCTGCCTCTGTAGGAGAATTTATTAGAGCATTAACATATGGTATTTCTTGTTAATAGATTTTGTAGAGTGTAATAGTTACTGGTTGACTTAAGAATATGTACTACTCTGTGTAACAAAAAAAAGGGGAAGAAAAATTGAAATTTATTGCATAAAAATTCTGAAACAAGTTTTTTTCATTTCAATTTCCCAAATTTCGATTTTCAATTTGCTCGAAGTCTTACGGAAACAGATTTGGAACTAATTTCACTTCCGAAAAAAAAAATAAGAAAAAAAGTTATGATTCCGATCCCATTCGTCTGATTTCTACCCGTATTTATGGGCATCATCGTCAGAAAAAAAAAACATTTCGGACAATAAATACGAAACGAAGATGCCACCACCGCACATGTTACGGCACTGAAACACAGAAATGGCATTCAACAACCAGAATGCAACACTCCTCCCAAAGGTTCCTTTCATCATTTACTACATGTATTTAAGCTGCATTTTGACCAGTCCAGGCTACACCACTTAATTAAGACTGACAAAATGCCACATACTCATTCATTCATCTATCTATCTATCTATCTATCTATCACCAGATTCCAGTTTCTTCAATACAAACGCAACTACGCTCCAACTAAAACCGCGGTACTGAAGCCAACGCACCATTCTCGATTTCCGTGTTTCTTGAGATGCCCCACTACTTCTCTGCCATTGCTTCGAAGCCTGTAGATATAACTGATCGATCGATATTTTCGACATAGCAATTCCTTTATCCTCATCCTCATCTTCGCCCTCTTCACTCTTATTCTCAAACACGAGTTTTATTGCCTTCTCGGCGTCTACTTGACTTATCCCTTTCTTGAATAGTGCCTAATTAAGAAATTATGTTACGATTTAGAGACAAATCTGGTTTTAGGTTATGGAGTACAAGGCAATTAGTATATATACGTATTTCGTGACAGTTCATAGCATATTATAGCATAGAATTAATATTTACTTGTCTGATTCGTCGAGGGCCCCAGCTTGAGGAAGACCATCTAGATCGAGAATAGCTTTCCGCGTATAGGCAGTCATTAATCAGACCCCTACAATAAAATAAAAAAAAACAAGAATTAGGGCAGATGAAAGAAATTTAATTTGTGTTTCATTTAAGAAATTATGATTGAGAAACATGTGCTTTCGGCTGTGCAGGTCACCTGCTCTGGAAGTCTGTTATCACTGCATCGATAATTTCGATCGGAAACCTTTTTCCTTGTAGTTTCTTTTTCAGCTCCAGAGCCGTGTATGCTCTGCAATAATAAATCTTTAAAGAACATAAACCATAACTAATATACCAAAGGGAGAAACACAAAAGAAAATTAGAGCATTCTAATTCACTGCATATGAAGCTATACGAATAATTAACCTGGAACCAAGTAACTTAATCGCCGACTTCTCCACATCGCTCGACTGCATTCCGCTGCATTTTTTACTACTATCTTCAACAATCTTGTCAGGCTCTTCAACGAAATCATCAATCAGAGCCACAAAATCTCCATCAACTTCTTCGTCTGCCGTTCGATATTCCCACATAACATATAAAAGCACAAAGATAAGCTAGTGTAATAACTTCTCCACATAAAGATAAGCTAGTGTAACTAAACCATACCTAAATTCTTGGAAAAATCAACAACTGCTTTCACACTCAACTCATGCCCATTGTGACTTTTCTTCAAACACCTCACAGGCAAAGAAGCAGCTACATTTTCTTCGTTTATTGAAGATCCCCTGGGTATGTATTTCACTGGAAAAGCGCTGCTGTAATCTCTTGCCTTCGCGCAGCAACTTATGAAGTTGTTCCTTCTTACCCTAAAGATCAAATCTTTCAAAGAAATATACAATGACTGCGTGTTCGCCGTTTCAAGCAGCAAGATTAATTATGCTTTTTCATCACTTTAATTTCGAATAATTCGAGTTACTTTGTTGTTCTACAAATTAACATTCTCAATTTTCACGATGAAAGCAAAAATAAAGTCGAGAGAATGAAGAAGAAACTGACCACGGGATGAGAAACAGTCGGTAATGGAGTTTCGTTGCAGCTACAGTGACGTGGACGAAATTCCCCATTAAGAACGCCATGTTCAGATCTCTAACCCTAAGATCATGCGCTGCAAAATTGATTTGGGGGTTCTTTATCCTTCCAATTAGTTACTAATTTTGTCCTTTTCGTTCTTAATTTGTTTCTTAGTAGAAATTAATTAATAATAATAATAATAATTAATGAATAAATAAAAATAAAAGTAATTGCATATGTATATTATTGTCTAAATTAATATGCTTGACTGATTTAATTAAATTTACACAAATATGAATAATAAAATTCTTATTAATTATTAATTAAGTGTAAATTACACGAGTATACCAAACCTAACATCTAGAGTTCGTCCTTCTAAACATATTGCAATGAGTAAAATTAGATCTAAGTAAACTAGTACAAGAAATCCAGCTCCAAAAAATTAATCTAGCCGACGGTTGTAGTGCTTCAGAAACGGCATTGAAGCTTGGGTAAGATAAGGGTGGCCAATCGACTAGCCATGATTTTGTGGCTGATTTCAGACAAATTGACACCATCGAAGTTTACGTGACGTTCGGGATCGGGGCATTGCGGAATATCCGTAGCTCCACACGTTCTTTTAATGTTGTAGTTGTAATCGCCTCCCCTTCCGCAACAAGCCTTTTTTATCTCAAATCCTGTATCCAAACATTATAAATTATATTAAAATTGTTTTTTTTATTCTACTAAAATTTCAAACAAATCGAAGAAATACTCTAGCTAGCTTGTTTTGAATCGAGACGTACCGTTACGTCTAGCGACACGGAGGAGATATAGGTAAGCATTGTAGAAATCAGCGTAGATTACTTCCGCGTTTGGCCTCTCTCGTGCCAGCTTGGCTATGGCTGCTTGCAGTTGTTCGTTGTGTGACCTCGTCAAGTAGTTGAATCGCTTCACACAATGGCTTAAGCCGTATGCCGCCAAGTTTTTTGTTTGGAAAACGGTTTTATAGATAGGGAGACATCCGAGTGGGATGTATCCGGGAATAATTACTCTTTGACTCCCCGAATCAATTTGTTCCTGCAAATTAAAATCCAACGACGACACAAATCAATAAGCATGTCGAATACTATATATATATTGTATATAAATATTTATATAAATTACGTGCCCTAGCAATATCAATAGCCGAGCTAACAACGACCGGGATCATGCTCTTCAACTCTGGTATCGTTTTCCTTTGTAAGATCGCATCGTTGTAAAAGTTCTGGCTGACTAGTCCGATGAAAGCAAGACTCGTTTCAAGTTTTTCACTACAATCTGGAAAATTGAAAATTGATTCTTTAATTGTAAGATTCTTCGAAATCAAGGATTAAAGAAAAAAACACGAAATCAATTGATGAAACATTGATATACGATCGATCAAACTTACCTGCCGGATTGTGACAAACTGAATTAGCGGCGATGTACATGGGACGGTTGGGGGGTGGAGGGTTGATCAAGTTACCGTTGTAGTCGCGAGTAGCGTATCGACCTTCGAACATGTAATCGTACGAGCAACTTTTTTGAGCAACAGAATATTGTGACAAGACGAAAAGGCAAGCCACAACTAAGAACATAAATTTCATCGATGAAGCCATTAATTAATTAATCTATAATTAATCTAGAGAGAGAAGTAGAAAAGAAAGCAAGATTGAGAGAATGATGAAGAATAGCGTAGGGTGCAGTTGTATTTATAATACACAAATTTTGAGTCCTAATTCTATTTGATTTAATATTACTTCTGTTTTTAATATTTGGGTATAACAAAACGTCTTATTATGATTTATTTTTTTGACATCTTCTATTAGGATTAGAATTACTAGTGATTAGTGATTAACCCTTTTCTTTTTCTGTATTTTTTTTTCTCGAGATATATTTATTACTTTAATAAGTTAAAAGTCTCTTATCTTCCTAACAGCAGCTTGTTGTTTCGACCTTCGATTAATATTTAGGGTAAATTACAACCACCCCGAGGTATGGTCAATTTACGAAAAAGTCGCTATTGTTTCGATAATTACATCTACCCCTTATGGTGTCAAATTCAACATAATCATCTAGATTTCGTGGAATTTGCTCCAATTTGTACTCGTTTTATGTAAAAATACAATTTCTGATACACCACAATTTGATATATACAAACCAAAAAATACATATTATGATCATCTTACTTCAAAATGTAGAGTTCGAATGGGATAAAACAGGTACAAAAGTGATAGCTGTTAAGTGTATATTTTTACACTTTATCGTACCTTTTTATTTGGGCTTTTGGTGTGTTTTAATGATAATTGGTGCTTAAAAAGTTGATTTATTGTATTTTAGGTACAAATTGAAGAATTGGAAAAGTATGGGGTCAAAACTGCAATTTTGGCGAAAATATGGGTCAAAAGTGAAAATATCAAAATTCTGAAGAAACAAGGCTCGGACCCCGTCCCAGTTTTAGTGCAAATCATGGGACCCCCGTCCGAGACTCCGAAATTGCGCAGAAAAGGGATTTTAATTGCACAAGGAAACTGCCTTCTTCCCCAAGTTCTTCACCCTATATAAGACCAAGCCAAGCACACAATTGGGGATCAATCTTGGGACGCAAATTCAAGAGCAAAAAAAGATCAACGAAGATTCAAGCATAGTTTTTCTTATTTAATTTATTTCTTTTATTTTCTTTATCATAAGAATCACGAGTAGCTAAGTCTTTAGTTTCTAGGATTTTATTTGGAACCCTATGTGGGAGTTATGAACCCAATTCTATGATTTTATGCAAGTTTTAATTCCGGATTATTTCTTCTACTTGTTTTATTAAGTTCATGAAACTGGCCACTTTATGCGCTTTTATGTTATTGTTAATCGCATGAATCGGAAGATCGGGTTAATAATTAGAACTGTGGTAGAAGAGCCTTTGTGGTATTAACATAGGAATATAGTTAATCTCTTAGGTAGCCATTATTGAGATTTGTGCTTAATGCTGTGTTCTAGAATTAATTGCATAGGAATATAGTAATTGAATCTAGAGTATTAGAATCGTAATACACGCGGAAGCGGGTTACGATTATTTTAGCATCTCAGGTTAATAATCCGGGTTAATTGCTTGCATAATTGAAGGAATTGGAGGAGTAATAATCGCATAGGGGGAAGAATAAAATCCTAGGCTTGTCTACTTTGATTAATCTTCGTTTTTAAATTGCTTTCGTGTTCTTGTCTTTTTAATTTTCTTTTTAATTTATTTTAATTTAGTTAATTCTCTCTAAATTCGACTGTGTAGGGTGGGCTTGATAATAATTGGTAGAATTTAGCGTCTAGGATTAGATAATTAAATATTCCCTGTGGGTTCGATATCCGGACTTAATTGTCCACTATATTACTTGTACGATACGTGCACTTGCGTGTAGGTTTTCGACCAACAATAGCGTTCCATATAATCTCGAAGATTCCACTAAATATGAAACCGCATGAACGTGTAAGAAGACTTATTGTTGAGAGGTGGTTGTAATTACCCAAACAAAAGGATGTTTTCGTAATTTGACCATACATTAGGGGCGGTTGCAATTTACCCTAATATTTATGAAGTTCAAATTGGTGTTGTGGGGGCACAAGAGTAAACTCAATATCTTGACAAATATGGACGTGAAGAAATAAATGTATCGTGTACACCTCAAAAATATAGAACGCTAAACACATCTCAGAGAGAGAGAGAGAGAGAGAGATCTGTACAAATAAATATAGTCATGATCAAATATGCTCTGAATTCTTTTTTTATAGTCCAGTGATAAATTTTCCTCGAGGCGTAGATTTACTCCGTCGAAATTCAGGCACAGACGAATGGCCTGCTTCCTTCCCATTCGGAACTACACTGTTGGGAAGTTTATTTTCCTGGTACCCGCCCAACAATGGATCCACCACCTGGATTATTTCTCTGTTTGAAAAAGAGCACGTCGACAAAATTAAGCAAAATAACGTAAAAAAATAATCGTAGTTTAACAATTTCATAAGTATAATTTTGTGCCATACCTCGGTTCTACATTTTGAGAGTTCCTTGCGAAGTTTCTATGAAGCTTCCTAAGCCTAGTGTTTTCAGAATCTGGAAGATCAATTTTTCGAGTCTCCTCCATTACTTTATCCGGGCCCACGTCAGGAAGAAGAGTCTCTGGTGCAACACTAGATTTCTGAGCTTTAGCTGATAAATATTGTTTGGTCTTTACCTTACTCTCTGGTTTAGTTTTTCTGATACCGCCTTGTCGAACGTTCAGGGCTTGCTTGAATTGTTCGTCTTCGTTTTCCGAGTGAACTTTTCGCACCGTAACCCTCTGGTGGTTGTTCAAAGCATCTGGAAATGCATTCACTGTAGATGGTAAACTTGGAGCCAGATTAGCTGCGGATTTATTGACTGAGAGACTTGCTGGAAAGGGTACTTTTACGACTGGTGAATTTTCAAGTGCTTCGGATTTTATTCTAGGTTTCATTAGAGCAGCTCTACCGGTGGATATTGATCTTCTGATTGGAGGAGGAGATGGAGATCTAGGCTTTGTGGAGCCTAACAATGATCTCTCTTCAGGTAGGAGGGGTACTTTTGGCACGATATCCTTGTCCATGAATTTTGAGGGAAATCGAGATCTTCTCTGTTTACCAGAGGAACAGCTTCTTGCCTGAAATTTACCGTAAAATAGATGAGATACCTAGTACTGTGGTCGGTCTCACAAAAAGCATGCCTAAGCCATTAATGAACTCAAAAGCCACATAATCATGCCAGATATTCCTTACGAATGAAGCTTTTATGAACCGAAACATTGCAATTCGAAGAAGCCTCAACACTTTCCCAAATTAGCCATCACCAAAAACCACAATGGTTCAAAATCTCTTTAACCTTACTCCAAGCAAATGTTTTTTTTTTCTTTCATTTGTTACCAAATAAAAAAAGTCAATGAAAGTGATTCAAATTCGAATTTTGAAAAATTGGTTAATCTTGAGTACTTTTTTACAATTTTCATGTTGATATAGTAACGTTTTGTAATTACCTCTGGGTGAGTATCGACATGCTGTTGAGTGATCTCAGCCTTTAAAACAGCATTGCTGTTGGATTTAGGTAGCCGAGGAGGTGACGCTGCGCCTCTAATATTTGTGCGACTTTTCAACTGCTCCAGTTCGGCTTCCTTTCTTTCCAACATTAGCTTAAGGTTTGAGATCTTAAGAAACCATGAAGAAAGAGCAATATGAGCTCATTAACAAGATCAAAGCCAATTTAGAAGCGTTATTGTAGAGGAACATACCTCGTCTTTAAAATCTCTAATTTCACTAGTTTCTTTATTAGACTGGGCTGCTCCAAGGTCTATCGTAGCAACTCTCTCAGCAAATTTCAAAGTGCTAATTGTCTCCCCTAGAGAATTAACCTCGGGGTTTATATGCACAAACATCAGTGTCTTAGCATGCCCCCCTGTCGCAAAAATAACAAGAATAAAACAATATATCTTCAGCATTGTTTAATAACTAAGAATCATAAAAATATAAGAACTTGGCGTTTTCATTTTATTCTCAGATATAGCGTACAGTCAAGATATATGAGTCAAATTGGCAGTCATTGACATAATTATAGCTCGGTCAATAATTAAGTACATCATACCAATAACTGAATGTTCACATAATTTGTGAGTCTGATGATTTACCTAAAGAATCTTGTAACACTTGAGTTAGCTTGCTATTCCTGTAAGGTACATGAGAATTCTTCTGTGCGAGAGCAGCAATGACATCTCCAAGTGCAGAGAGAGATTTGTTAATATGTTGTGCTTCTTTCAATCTCTCACCAACAGCTTCAGATTTGTCTACTCTCTCACTGCCAGCTAGATCTACTAAGTGAAGGCAGCCCTTTAACATGGAACCTGAGACTAGTTCTTTTCCTCGGACATGAACTGTCAAAATACTGCAAGAAAGAGATTCAGCGAAATATGTCATGCACAAAACTATAAACTTCTAGAAGAAAAATCACCTATGGGATCGGCTACTTCGCACATTCAAAGCTGTGGCACCCACTGCACGATTTCTTTGTCCAATTCTCATCAAATCAAGAACATCTTGAGTACTTTTAACAGGAATCAGACTCGCATCGGGAACATTGAGACCGTTAAGCTGAGAATTATTTCGAATATCTAATGTATGGGCAGTTAAGGACATTTATAAATCTTGTGAAGAGATATTTAACTGCAGTACATAACCACCAAAAAAGTTTCCATCAATAATAATAAACAAAGCTGCACAAGGATATCTTCTATTACTTCCATCAGAAACCAACAAATCTCTCACTTGTTCATTGTATATCTCAATCATTTGGACTGCAACATCATATTCTATGACGTCCATTCTATCGTTTGAAATGTGAAACAGGTCGCGCAGAGCACGATAATTCACTCCCCAAGTCTCCTCTGTCGTTAAGTCTGGACCACTCTGTTGACATGGAATGTAATGATTATTATATCTGAAAGATGTAGAGAACAGAAACATGCTATATGTCATGGTCATGATGGTCATGCACTATAAGTTTATAACCCAAGTGTCCGAGGAAAACCATCAACAGTGTTCTTGTCAAAATTCCAATAGAAATATTTGTATACCTTAACATCATTATGCACTGGAAAAATACCTATAGGTATTTAGATATGTCAACGATGAGTGGTTAAGGAAAAAATACAAATACGATCTACATTATACTAGTTGTTCTCGACAACTTCATAGAAGAGATGTAAATTGTTTACAGTGATCGCAAGACAAAATTGATAAATGCCCCGAATGGTAAGTTATGATTACAAAAACCGATATATGCCCCCCTAAATGGTAAGTTACGATTTTATGCTAACAGAACTAGGATACTATTTTTCATGGCGTCGTATTTTCAGAACATGATAATACAATGGAAGTGGTTACTGGACGTACCATTGTGTATGTCTTCCCAGAGCCCGTCTGACCATAAGCAAATATACAAACATTAAACCCATCTAGAACAGATCTGACCAATGGTTGAGTATCTCCATATATTTGCTCTGCAAAACATATGAGAATGAGATATTTTCAGAAAAATATAGCTGCAGAACAATGATGAAGATGATGGAGCTATATGCTTTTATGTTATGCAGATTTTTTAATGTTAAGAATGACGTTATAGTTTGTAAACGTTTCTTGGTGAATGCTATCTTGCTGATTTTCAATTTTAAGGTGGCCAAATTGCAATATCAACTCAAAAAAAGATTGACAAGGACATACCTTGTGTCACATTTGTCCCAAAAATCTTATTGAATGAGAAAACCCTCCTTGCATCTTTACCCTGCTTCAGGGGATTGACAATCATAATATTTCCATTTTCACCAATATAATCAACCGTGGACTGCGCACTAGATTGCCCCGAGGGAAAGGGTTTTACTCTACAGTAAACTCTGATTGTACCTGTTAAGAAGACATTCTGTTAATATTATCTTGTATTCTTCACAATGACAGTCTCTACCAAATTGGATAGCTCACCTTTTAGATCTTGAACTTGATTATACAGAAGACGGTTTTCTTCCAGAACTTTGTGATATGATGAAGCGGCCACTTCTAGGCCCTTAACATGGTGCCCTGTTAAAGGAAACACTATATTAATAAACTAGATAAGATGTATGCAACAACACGGCATTAACACAAGTTCTTCATGTACAACAGTTGACACAAGCAAAAATGGAGGGAAAAATAGCTTGAGTCTCACCCATGCATTGGAGTTCTTTTTCCCATCCTAACTGAACTCGGTGTACTTCTTGTTTTGTCTCTTTAAAAAGAGCTTTTAGATCCTGAAAATTTGGAATATGTTAAAACAATCGACAGTTGAAACTAGCATATTCACATGAGAGGGGGAGGTCATATTTTATAACTATACCATGAAAAGTTGCATTTAGCATATTAACATTTGACGCATATCTGGCACCCCAAAAGTTTAACTAATACCTCTAACTGCCTGTGCTGAAGATCAAGTATTTCGATATTGCCACGAGAGGACATATTCTTTTGCCATGTGCCGTCACCTTTTCCACCACAAATGCAGAAATTGGAAAATTCTCTTGATACAAGGCTACTCCTTTTGCTTAGGTACTTTGATATGGCTTCAAAGAATTGAGATTTTGTCTGACGAGTGCAATCATCGTTCAGGATTTTCTTCAAGAACATGCCCAGCTGAAAAGACAAAGATATAAATTGAACTTCAATGAGACTATTGATTCGGTAAATCAATTACAGAATTGCCGTGCTCATAATTAGATACCGCGACTGTTATCACCTGATTGCCTTGAGACACCAACAATGCTGAGAAATCCTTAACAACCTTCTTCAGCACGGTATCAATTGCCTACGTATTTCCACAGTTAGACTGAATGCAGATGGTAATTATGTTTAGAGAGTGCAGAAGACACGGTGTAATCAATTCCCACATGTTGAGTGTTCTCATGAATAAATTGAATTTTTCAGATATCATTTTCGGGGAACCTTAATTAATTTGATCAAACTACAGCAAATGGCATATTGTCATATAATAAATAGAGAATAAGCTTACCTACCATTGAACTTAAAGGTGAGTCATCAAATCCATTGGTTTCAGTCAAATAAGACTGTAGAACAGCCAGACTAAAATGATCGAACATGAAAGTGAGAACGTTGGCTGCCCTGGATTCATCATGTGAGTCAGTCGATAAGTGAAGGAACTCCATTAGTTGTTCGTATTGTGATAATTCAGACTCGTCTATTGACTCATCTGCACTCTCACAACTCACTAGAGAGGATGGTGATTCTTTGGGAAAGGACGTAATTCTCACTGTTCCACCATATCTCCAGACTCCAATACCTCCGGATTTCTTCCATTCGTAGTATCCTTTTAAACACAGAATGCAGTCCACTACTTTGCCTGATGAACCTCCCTATAAATTCAAATCAATTTCAAGTTCATCAGAGTATAACAAGGCAGCCGTGATAAAGTTGAATAACCGTTATGAACCCTGAGTATCACTACTCACTAAAGCATCTTTTGTTTTCCCTATGTTATGGCACAACTACCCACAAAAGGCTTACCACTATATATATCATTACTTAAAATCCCGAATATTATTTGACATGCATTATATTTAGTACTAGTATAGTACAGAAAAATAACAAGAACACAATCATTATGCGTAATATGATTTTGACAACATAACAACATTTATATACACGAAACCATGAAGCCCAAGCGGAAGAAGCCACCATTTATCCACTCTAATGCTAAACAAAAACGTCGGTGTTACGGCATGCAAGAAGAATCGCCATAACCGTTAAATAAAAAGTTAAACAATCAATATTAATTTCACATGCCAAAGAATTGTCATCTCAACGCCAAAATGAGGTGCAAACCTTTTCGAGATCGGACGCTTCAAACGTAAGGAGCTTCATTTTGCCAACAGCAACAAGAAAATTCCTCATGTTCTCAAAATATTGAATGGCAGATTGGGCGGCAGCCTCCGTAGCCTGCACATCCAGCACCGGATTTTCCACCACCTACACATTTTCCACAAACAGTAGAAGCTAAAAATATCATAAGCAGCTTCAAACGCTAAAAAAAGGATCGAAGGTTTCCAGGCAAGCAAACTCGCTACCTTGTGAACGGCTCCGGGATTGACTTTGTTGAGGACATTGCAGAGAATGAGTCCGTTGCGGAGATCCAAACAGAATTCCTCCTCCGTCGGTTCTCCGGGGAGCACCTCCGTCGCGCCTTGGTCCATCCGCCGCAGCCATTGCGCCGCCTGGTATCTCCTTGAAGCTGAAATTATACGTTCAGTAAACACTGGTTGAGATTTAGCTTCTACAATTCTTCAAAGTTTGAATTTCTGTTCTAGGTGTTCAAACCATTTTCCCTCTTTTTTTTTTTTTTTTTTTTTTTTTTAATTTCCCTATTTTGTTTTTTTAAGGGCAGTCCATCAAGCTTTAATCGGGCCATAAGGCCCAAAACAATGCCGGCCCGTTACAAATTATTATATAAAAAAAAAAAAAAAATATTATTACCGGCTAAAAGTTCAGTGAAGCGCGAAATGAAAATTTTGAAAGCCGATCTTTCCGGATTACAGGTGGAATCTAAAAGACCTACTCCAAAATCTACAAAATTCACGCCATCTTAACCGTCGACCGTTTCTTATCAATGGTCCACAACAATTGCGACCAACACGACGCGGATCGCGGTTTACAACCGCCGATTACTGAACATAATCCAACGGCCCAGATATCCCCATCCACGGGACTCCTCGTGTATATAAACTCACCACCGTAATCGACACTTTCACTCACAGCAGTAAACTCTAAATCAGGATTTACCCCCAAAATTATTATCTAGTTTCATAGAAAGAGAGAGAAGAGAAAAAAAATGTCAGGAAGAGGAAAGGGCGGCAAGGGTTTGGGAAAGGGCGGAGCAAAGCGGCACAGGAAGGTTCTCCGGGATAACATCCAAGGCATCACCAAGCCTGCGATTCGCCGCCTTGCCCGCCGTGGCGGCGTTAAGCGCATAAGCGGCCTCATCTACGAGGAGACTCGCGGCGTTCTGAAGATCTTTTTGGAGAACGTCATCCGCGACGCCGTCACCTACACCGAGCACGCCCGCCGGAAGACGGTCACCGCCATGGACGTTGTCTACGCGCTCAAGAGGCAGGGCCGCACCCTCTACGGGTTCGGAGGCTGAGAATTTCTCGATTTACGGCTGAGGATGGTGATATTTTGTGTAGATTTGGGAATTATTCTTAGGGTTTATCTTTTAGGGTTTATGTAGGGAATTTGGGGATCTGGTACTGTTCAATTGTCTGTTTTTTTTTTTTTTTATTTGAATCAAATCGAGTTTATTACTTTTGTTCTAACGCAGTTATCAATTAATTTCAATTTTACAAACCCTAAATTCCAATTGGCAGATTAATCATTCAATCGCTGTAAAAAAGTAACAATCTTGTTTTCCCAATTTGTAATGTGGGCTAGTACTCGATTGAATTCTTTCCCACAGCGTGTATAGCAAGTCTGGAATGTGCCAAATGCAATGATTACACGGCGTCGTTTTAAAAGCTTAGCACAACCATGGCCACTTTAATCTTTAATAAGGCTTCTTTGTAATTATGGATTCAACTAAAAATTAGAAAGAAAAAAAAAAACTCAGACCCACCACTATGAATTTCAATGGCGGGCCACTATACAATTTTTTTTTAACTTTTCGACAGGCCGTTTGCCTTCACCAACTACATTACATCATGATTCGCTACCCGCTTTAACTTTTGGGCTTGAATTGTGGAATCTTGGTTTTTCGTCTCTCCGGAAATTACTTTCGTTTTTTTTTTCTTTTTCGTTTTGATGGATTACTTGTTCAATTGCAATACGAACTACATACGAGAAACATTAAAACTGTGGGATTGGAAGAGTGTATACGTACCTGCTTCCTCGGCTTTTCTGTGAGCTAATTCGTGGTCGTTGATCGTTTCTTCTGCGTACGGAGCATTAGTGGTGTTATAGATCAACCCCTTTAGCCCTCTCAAGTTCTTGCTTGGAGAGTTGAATATCGAGCTGCTGATGTGGCTTTCTTGGGGCATTGTAATTTGTATTTGTACACCTTAATTAATTTCCTGAAAAAAGAAATTCCGTGCAATCAATCACCGGTGGAAGTTTGAACTTTAGCTCGATAATTTACTGAAAAAAGAATGAGCATCTTCTTTTCTTTAGTAGATGTCAACCTGTTTGTAGTTTTCTGAGACTATTGACTGTTTCAAATGGAATAACTTAAGATATAGTTTTTCGTTAATAACAACATTATCGCTGACAAAGGAGATAGAGACAGGTTGATCTAATTGCATCCGTGGATATCTAAATTTTACCTGGAGATGTGTATGTATGACAACCCGGCGAGTCGGAATTCCGGTGATCAAGTGGTGCCGGAAATAAGTGGCAAGAAGAAGATCATCGGTTTATCGACTTTGTTTTTCGGAATTGGATCTGAAGTGAACTATAATGGCAAATTCAAACGGGCTACTCGTGACAGAGAAATAAGTATTCAAAAAAAAAAAACAGAGATGAATTCATTTAATGCAGAACAGAGGATGGGAGAGAAAAGAAGCAGCTTATTCAAGTATTATTATTAAGGCAGGGGAAAATTAAAAAAAATGAAAGAAAAGCCCCTGAGAGAAAACGTCCGTCCCCCTTGTCTCTGCTTTTGGGGGTTGGGACTGGACCCACCGTTATATTTAACGGTGGGATACAATTTGAATGCGTAAGTCCACGTGGCGTGACAGGAGGCGGCCTGGGATTCGCCAACTTGAGTCCGAGGTGGGGTCTTTTTGAACGTTGGACTGGGCGGCAACATCTCGATTCTCTATTTACTAATTTACCAATTTCATTTGCTTTTCAAAAAAACTAAATAAAGTAAAAATTCATATATCATAAATTACGAGTGTGATAAATGTCGTTCGAGCTTTAATAATACTGTTACGATTTCAAACGTGATTTTGATCATTTTTAATTTCAAATTTCGCAGAATCCGAAAAAATAGAATTTGTAGCATTCTGAATTAGTTTTCTAATCCAACTTGAATCACCAAAATTGGATGCCGGACGAGAAAGTTATACATGAATCAATAGATACTGCCCACAACTTTGATGTATTGAGGTATTTAAAATTCAAAATGTGATTCATTCATGCATAACTTTGTCACACATCATCCAATCTAGTGAATTTAATTTGGATTAGAAAGCTAACCCAAGGAACTACCGTTTTCGAGTTTCAAATTTTGCCAAAATCAAAATAGAAATATGTCAAAATCAGGTTCGAAGTCAAACGAGATTAGTAAAACTATGCTAATTGGAATTTGGAAACAAAATAGCCTTCTAATTAACAAGCTCTTGACCAAGTTAATTTCATTATTTGATCTAATCAAATGTTTATTATGCTTACAAAAATCCCCATCAAGAATTCAATATTTGTTGCTTAATTCTAATTCGGTAAATATATATTTATACGGGACAACCGAGAATTTAAACATTTAAATATTGATACGACCTTGCCCCTAATAAACGAGGATCGCCCATAATTGGTAAACTATATGTTATTGTTCGAGAATATTGATAGAAGTAATAAATTCGACATGTTTATACTACTTATTAGCGTTACTCTGTAAAATATGGAGATATGTGCTAATTTATGTATGTAATAATATATATTGAGTTGAGTTTGGTATAAGGTCCCGTTTGGCTAAGTTTGTTTGAAACGACTAAGCTTGGTTGAAACAACTGATATGCTCTTGTTAGATAAGCTGTTATTTTAAGAGATGATAAGTTATTACATCTTATTTTTAAAATTATTTTTTAAAGTGTTGGAATAATGATCTTATAAACTATTTTAAAATACTTGCTCTCCAAAAACTTATTTTTTGAATTTTTAAGATTTTTTTAAAAAGAATTACCAAACAAACACTTTCAAAGAACTTATAAGTTCTCAAATGTTTTATAAGATCTTTTTAACAGCTTATAAGCTATCATTCATATATTTTATTAGAATCCGAAGCAATTTTTTACTTTTTTTTTTTGTTACTTAAAACATAAACCGCAAATATTTAACAATATTGACACCAAGATGGAATAATTTAAAAGAAAAGCATGTTAATGAAAGAGGCACAAAAGGCAACACACTCTAGTGATCATAATTATGTTTTTTGCCTTTGCCTAAATGCTAAATTAATTAGTGGTCCTTACAAACCATTAGCATCAAGTGTGGATCTGGTTTTCATTTCAAAATTGTTTCACTGGGCCTCCCAAAATTTTCTATCTTAATTTTAATTTATATGTTGCATTATAAATATATAAAAGTTTAGCAATATATAATTGAATGCTAATCAAAGCAAAACATATTGTTTGCAATGAATCATTAGGTGCACCGTGCACCCATTTTCGGTTAGCCCCCACTCGATAAATTGGAGCTCTTTATTTAATCACAACCATTTTTTGTAGCCGGAGTAGTCAATTGATCATTTTCGGAGAATTAGATTGTCTTCTTGAACAAGCCTTTTATCTGGTAGTTAATAACGAAGAAGCTACAACGAAAGCTATCAACTTAGAAACGGAGAGTAATTTGAAGAAATTACCTCAAATCTTTGTGTACTGACCCCTAATCGAATTGAAATCTTTGTGGTGAAAGAAGAAGAAACGATAATGTTGAAGGAGAAGAAACGATGTTTAGGCAGTGGCAATTTTGTAATTTACAGAGTTGACCAAACGGCGTCAGAGTCAAAATTGAAAAAAGTTGACGGAGAGGGCTGTATGGGAAATTGTACAAGTACAGGGGGGTACATCGATAAAATTGAGAGTACGAGGGGGTTAAGTGACTCTCGGGCAGAGTACGAGGGGGTTAAGTGGAATTTACCCAAGAAAAAAATATATGAATGTGTGAAACTTTCTCTTTTCTAATCTCGAGAGTCAAAATAAAAAAAATCAATATTTACGTCAATATTTTGACTCTTGACCAAATGGCGTCAGAGTGAAAATCGAAAAAAGTTGACGAAGATGGTTGTATTGGGAAATTGTACAAGTACAAGGGGGTAAATCTACGAAATTAATAGTACGAGGGGGTAAAGTGGAATTTACCCTTAATATACAAATAATTTTCTCATTAAAATCCCAAAAACTAGTTACAAAAGATTATTCGAAAGGTCCATATGGTTGTTTTGGGCCACTATTGCATGACTTTGATTTGCTGTTGCACTAGTCCATTTGGACTCAATCATGACTTGGGCTATATATATATCACTAACACTTGAATAATTTTTAAAAACAATGTGATTTTTTTTTATAAATTATTGAAAATTTATTCATAATAAATAATTTAAGAACTAAAAAAATGGTGTGTTTTGCGAATTTTATAACCAGTTAAAAGAAACATATAAAATTTCACAATACAATAATGCATCTATTAATTTAGCATAACATTAAATTATTGAGTTAATAATTTAATACGTCAGACACCGAGTAAAGATAGAAAAACATATTATTTAGATGGTATTATTAGTTTATCGAAATTTTATTTTATTTACATTTAACACATCTCGAATTGAAATAAATGGCATTGGCTCATGCAAGTGTACGAGGCATCTATCTATCTTCTGACAAGTATGTCTTAGCATTGGGCTTCGGCCATCACGTTTTCCGTGCAAATTTAAATTCCAATTTGTATTTATTAATTATTTTCTTGAAACAATAGACTTTTTTTTTTTTTTTGAAGAGATTATAGTTTATATAAAATTTATATTTAATTTTAAATTATAAGGAACAGCTAACTTATACTTAGGGGTGCAAGTTGGAACGGAAATTCCAATTTCCGCCGGTTCCGATCCGAAAAGTTCCAATTTTGGAACAACTTTTTTCATTCCGACTTCCGAAATTCCGATTTCCGAATTTTTCCGATTTTTTTGGATTGGAATTGGAATTATATAAAATAAAATTGGAATTTCCGATTTCCGATCCGATTTGATTTCCGAAATTAATTCCGAAAAATTCCGATTTTTTCCCGAAAATACACCTATAAATAATAAATATTATATGAGATTTATTTTTCCGAAAAATACACCTATAAATGTTTTTTAGGATTTTGACATAATGAATTGTTGTTAGAAGTTTTATAAGATACTAGTACTTCACCCGTGCGTCGCACGGAAAATTCATTATAAAAATAAATATTTAATTTTAAAAAGTTATCGGAATAGTAAGATCAATGTGCAATACAAAGTTTAAAAAATATTATTTCATGTAAATAACAAATTCAGCCAAAATAAGTGAAAAAAACTAAATATCGAAGGTTTAATTTCCGTATACAAATGGCGAGTACATCGTTATCATTACCGTTACCAACACTACTACCATTATCATTACCATTACTAATACCAGCACCAATACCAACACCGTTACCATTACCATTATGATTGCTATTATCATTACGATACCAATATTGATGTAGATACCGATACAACTACCGATACTCATACCAATACCAATCATTACCATTACAACTACCATCACCATTATCATTATCATTACCTACCATTGTTAATACTAATACTAATCTGATAATAATATTATTACTATTAGTAATCCTAATGCTAATCTTAAATAACGTTAACGCTAATCCTAACCATAATCCTAATCCTATTACTACACCCAATCATTATTCTAATCAAAATTATAATCATAATCCTAATGCTAATATTAATGTTAATCTTAATTCTAATACTAATTCTAATTCTAATTATAATTCTAATCCTAATAATAATACGAAGCATAATTCTAATTCTTATAGAAATGCAAATATGCTATTGCTAACACTAATTTTAATATTATTCTTAATATACTAATGTTAATGGTAATGTTAATCATAATTCTAATCATAATTCTAATTATAATGCTAGTAATATTAATAATCAAAATGCTAATATATCGCAATACTAATATTCATATTAATATGCTAATAATAGTGCTAATGCTCATCACAATACTAAACTAATACTTATATGCTAATGCTAATGCTAATGCTAATTATAATATACTAATGCTAATGATAATCGTAATTCTAGTTCTACTGCCTATTGCTAGTACCAATGTTAGTCCTAAACTAATGCTACTAATCCTAGTTTTAATGCTAGTGCTAATATTAATCATAATCCTAATCTTACGTATAATTATAATGTTAATTCAAATCCTAATGTTAATGTTAATTCTAATTATAATTCTAATGTCAGTGCTAAGTCTAATAATAATAATCATAATCATAATTATAATCATAATAATAATCATAATCGTAATTCAATCCAAATCCTAGTAGAAATAATCATAATACTTACTAATACAAATACTAATACTAATGGTATTTCTCATGGCCGTTCTTGAGAATTTAGGGGCCCTAGGCGAGATTTAAAAAACAACTTAAAACCGGGGTCCCTATTTGACAAATAAATTTTATTAAAGGATGTTTCAAATTAAATATACTAAAAACATATAAATAATATTTTCTAAAAATGATGAAATAAAGATTAGGGGGGTTCAAAGGCAGTGCCCCCGAAACATTTTTTGAAATGTATGAATATAAAATAACTTCAAATATGGAAAAAAATCAAAATTAACAGGATGATTTGCTGGTTCACTTCCTCCCGTGACGTATATCTTTATAGAAAATAAACTTCATAAATATTTGTAAAACTTAAATAGACTAATGAATAATGATTCTTATTTTATGTATAATAATAAATAATTAAGACATTATAAATTTAATATTTAGGGGCCCCAAGGTTAAGAAAATTGAAAAAAATATCTATTGATCATTTATATTAAATTTATTTTAGAATTGATGTTCAAATTTTAAAAAATAAGTATTCATATATAAAGTGTATGTAACATAATTTGGGGGCCCTAAATTTTCTTAAAAATCCCGGGGCCCTAGGCGACCGCCTACTTCGCCTCCCCCAAAACCGGCCCTGTTAATACTAATACTAATACTAATACTAATACTAATACTAATACTAATACTAATACTAATACTAATACTAATACTAATACTATAGTCATATTAAAACTAATACTAATACTAAACTAATACTAATATACTAATCCTAATATATTAATACTAATCATAATATATTAATGCGAATTCTAATGTCATTATTAATATTAATGGTACTCCTAATTATAATACTAATGTTAATACCAATCTTAATGCTAATGCTAATACGAAACTAATCTTAATCCTAAGACTAAATATAATTCTAATATTAATACAAATTCTAATCCTTATCATAATCATAATTCTAATATTAATTCTAAAATGGTAATGCTAATACTAATGGTAATGTTAATGTTGATGATAATATTGATGTCGATGTTAATGCTAATGTTAATACTAATGGTAATGCTAATGATAATCTTAATACTCATGTGAATACTAATATTAATATTAATCGTAACATTAAATAAAATCAGACATGTTTATTCCATAATTAATTAATATTTCCTTTTAATAGTGCACAAAAAATAATTAGGAGTACAAAAATCCGTTTACTCCAATTAAAACATATCTCTATGAAGTAATATATGGAAAAGGAATTGATGACATGTTTACTTTAAATATTATTTCCATTATAAATTGCCGTTTATCCATTTGTTTAGATCAAGTAGTTAGTAATATTAACAAAATAGATATTTTATAAATAATTTATCAATATTTAAATGGATTTAGGTTAGTTAAAATAACTAAAATCGTTGAACACACCTAATTCACTAAACAATTACTTATTGCAAATTTTCGTTTATCCATTTTTTAAATTATTTGTCCAGTGATAATAACAAAATAGATATTTTAAATGTAATTTATATATTTGTGGTTTTATGTTATTCAGAGAAATTAATATCTTTCAATGCACATAATTCACCGAACAATAACCTAAAATTTTAAAATAATTATTTCACTATGAAATAAATAAACAATTATTAATTTTCCAGTATGAAATGTCATTTAATCATTCTTAAAAATATTTTATCTAGTTGTGGTAACAAAATGGATATTTCAAAAATTATTTTCCAAAATTTGAATGAGTTTATTTTAGTTGAGGCAACTAAAATAGTTAAAAACACAAAATTCATCGAACTATAATTTACAATAAAAAATATTATTTTCCTATTATAAAATATCGTTTACCATTTTCTTAAATATTGTTTCTAGTAATGCGAACAGTATAAATATTTTATAAATTATTTATCCCTATTTAAATAAATTTTAAATTTTGTCAAGACAACGAAAATAGTACAACACACATATATAATTCACCAAACAATAATTAAAAATGTTACCTAGTTTTTACTTTGCTATCTAATTAAAATATTCTAAAACTACTTATCCCAATTTAAGTGAAATTAGGTTTATCAAAACAATTAAAATAGTACTACACATAGTTCACTAAACACAATTAAAAAGTAAAATTATTTGTTCACCCAATTTTTAATTTGTATTATTGTTTATGGTTTAGCGGAAAGAAGTAAAAAAAGAAAAAAGAAAAAAATGTCGCAACTTGTATATTAGGACAATTCATTAGATAGTTGAAATTATATTTCAAGAATACATATTAGGATGTCAAAGAAAAATATATGAGATAAAGGTATTTGAGGATAAATTGTATGTGTATAAATAAAAAAGGAATTAATCAGTTAAAATTGAAAATGCGTAATTAATGGGATTGTCATTGAATGAATGAAACATAGAGTGTAGAATTTATATTTTTATAAACAAACTTATATGTTAAATAGTGACCACATTTGATTGGTGGTTTTCTAGTAATTAAATCCAAAGTATGTCTTAATTAGACTTAATATTTACTCAAAAAAAAAATTTAGACTTAAATTTGAATAATTCAATTGAAATAAATAAATAAACAACGTAGTTATTTGTTTTATATGTATTTATCGGTTTAGAAAACTCAAAATAAAAATATTAAAGATTAACCTAAGTTGAATGGTGGTTGTATCCAAATTAAGCAATAGTTTGAATATTTTGATTGGAACAAATTAATAAATAAATAAATAATTTATTTATTATTTGTTATGAATAAATGGTTAATTATAAATATGTAGCTATGTAATTTATTGTCACATTCAGATGTGAGTCGGGTCGAATGCATTAGAATTATCCTTTTCGAGAAATTTCAATTTTTGGATGTATGAAAATCAATTGCAATTTCAGTTTCAATTTTTAGTATGTAGTTTGTTTTAACGAATATTGATGAAAATCAATTAGTAAAATATATATATAAAAGGAGGTTTTATATGTGTGCAGGGTGTGCAAAATAGATAAGACAATTAATCAAATAAATTATTAATATCATTGTTTTTGAATTTTAATATCTAATTTCATGAAAATATTGAAAACAGGTAAAATACTTTTTTTAAACAAATCATTGTGAAATCCATTGATATAAACAGTAACCGAGGAAATAAATCACCAAGAAAATAAATCTAGTTCAAAATACGGTATATTAGTCTACTTTTTGCTACTATTTAAAATATACATGGATACCATAAAATCGTGATATATTTAGAAAATGAAAATAAATTAAAAAAAATAAAGAATGAATTTCCACTTTTATATAAATATATAAATATGATTCAAAGTCGTTAAACATTTGAACAAACTTTTGAACGGAATTATTAAAAAATAGAAATAAAAATGAATAGTGAATCGAATTTTATATTAAAAATAATGGGAAACAATAATAAAATTCTACAAAATTATTGAAATAAAATTATATAAAAATAAATAGCATTAACATTAGGAGTTGTTTAAAATAGGAAAATAAAACCAAAATTAAAAGAACATAATATACAAAAAGAATAATTCAAACTTATTAAAAAAATGAATAAAGATTTGAATGGATATATTAAAAAAAAAGTGAAATAAAATAGAATGGTAATTTAAAATATCTTTTGAAAGCAATAGAAATAAATAAGCAAATAAAAATGATAAAGCATCATTAAAATAAAATTGTATAAAAAATATAATAATAAAAACGAAAAAAACAACACTAACAAAATATCATCAGCCAACTTTTTTCTTCCTTCATTTCTTGTTTCTGGCGTCGGAGTGAGGTGAAGATGAAGATAAAAACGGGTGGACAATTTTGCTTTGGTGTTGGATGGGAAATGTGGTTTTATACTTGTATTGAGTATCATAATTAAGTTAAAATAAATAAGGAAATAACCATTTATCATATAATTAACATAAATGCTGATATTGAAATTTGTAAGAAAAAATAAAAGATATGATTGGCCAAATCAAAGTAAATTCGAAATTTCCTTATTAAATATCAATATAATATTTATTTTATAATTAACATAAATGTAATAAAGAAATCATTTTTTCTGAAATAGGTTAAATAATAAATATGACAAAATGTAATAAAGATTAATTAAGGAAAGAAGTCCACAAATAATAGAGTTGAAAAGATTTGGGATCAAAATTGAAGATGTCAAAACTTCAATTGTGTATTCTCTCTTTATATATTATATAGATTATGTTGTGTTTATTTTTATTTATTTTTTGAACTGAAATTTAGTAGTTCTTAGTTTTACTTTTATTGATGTGGATGTTCTTATTTTTGGAAAATTATGATCATTTTAGAAAAAAATCGCTAAGTTTGAAATTTTTAAGCTTATGTGATTTCCGATTTTTTTCCGAAATTCCGAAATTTCCGGGCCTTTTGGAATTGGAATGAATTTTTAGATTCCGAAAATTTTGGAATTGGAATAGGAATTGATTTTTTACTTCCGAAACTTTTTGGAAATTTTCCGAAAAGGCTAATTCCGATCCGATCCATCCGACTTTCACCCCTACTTATACTATTGAAAAATTATAAGGAACACGCTTACACATTTATAGAATGAATCGATTTAAAATCAGTTGATTCAATTAAGATGCGAAAGACGGCCGATCAATGCTCATACAGTAGAGTTTGAGAAAATAAGAGATAATAATAATGTGAGCGTATATTGTAATATATAATACAAAAAGCTTCGATAAAAATTGAAAATTTATTGTCGTTTTATCAAATAAAAATAGATTATTTATTTAGGGAAAAAAAATACAAAAATAATTAAAGGGTTAAATTTCAATTTTCAACAAACCTTTTTTAGAAAAGTAAAAACTTAATGTGGGCCCAGGCATCTCCGGGGGAATCTAGCGGGGACCCAAAAGCTTCCACATGGACGGACAGGATTCGACAGATCACTGCAGGCTCACGCATAACCAAGTACGCAAGCACACACGATCGTACCCCACGTCGACATGTGCGGGGCCCGCAGGTGAAAATCGGGCGGTGAAAAGAGAATGACCGTCCAAAGATGGAAGAATTGATGCATATACAGATCGCGGCGGGGGGTAAAGTGGGGGCGTGGGCCCCTCTGTAATTTCGCTAAATCTGAAGCCCCCATTTATGCATACCTCCGAATCTTCTACTGCTGTATAAATTCATCGTCATCGTGTGTGTAATCCCCCCGCACACAGTATTGAACTCGGCTACCATTAATCTCTCTCTCCTCTCTCTACTGTTTGAAATCTGATTAAAAGCGCCGCAAATAAGCTGTAAGCCGAATTCGTTGAAGATAATCGTCAGGTATATTTCGAAGCTGCATTGGTTAATCTGATGTGTAAAACAGCTTCATCTAGCCCGATATAATTTTTTCCTATGGTTTTGGTATTTTTCGCCAATGGGATAATACGGATTTTCCCGCATTGGCTGCTGAAGATCACGTTTTTCAAAAAAAGTTTGCATTTGCTAGGGATTTGTGTACTTTACTTTCTCAATTTGATCTCATACTTCATGAATTTGCGACCTTTTTCTTTTAATGGCTAATCAATCAACTATGCTTGATTAGAAGATTAGTCACTGTTCATCATTCCAATTGATTAATTGGCAGTATTTTCTGTTATTTTCTTTTATTTATTTCTTGAAGTTTACTGATTGATTTACACATGCTAATAGATGGGATAATATTAAAATGGCCATACTTGTTGGTTGTGGACTTGCTATCTGGTGTTAGATGAAACATGTTATAATGATCTGTTGCGTTTGGTGCAATTTTCGATTTATTGCTGTTAATTGGTGAAGCGACTTCAATTTGATTGGGCAACTAAGAATATAGAGTGCAGTGAAAGGTAGCGTTGTGAGATATTTTAGGGGCATCTGGTGATAACACTTATTTCCCTTTCTGTTTGTCCTAGTCACTTTCCTACTTTAGAATTCTGTCCTATTTGAATGATTGTGAGATTCACAACCAGCTTCTTTTTTTTTTTTTTCTTCTTTCTTTTGAATCGATTCTGCAAAATACACATCTACAAGGAATCTTGATCCAAAAACTTTCTCTTTGGGAATATTTACAACATAATCTTACTTTTCAAGGTTCTAAGTAAAAAAAATTCACTTGAAAGCCTTTTCTTTTTTCTTCCGTGTCTGATTGAAGCTTATTCATATAATTGTATCCTCGTCTCTTCTTTCAACTTTTTGTCGTCTAAATTTGCAGGGGAAGCCTGAAAATGGGTTCAAAAGCAGTTGAAGATATGATCGAGGCTTCATCAGGAGTTCATTTTTCTGGATTTCATTTAGAGAATACAGACCCAAGTAATTCTGTAGTTGAACAGCCAACAACCTCTGCAACTGAAAATATGAAGCAGCCCTTTGTCATAGGTAGTACAATCATTTTATCTTCTTCCAACATTGCCAAATACTAGCTATCACAGTTTTGTGAAATTTTGATGAATGGGAATCACTGATAGCTCATAAGGATATCTTTTAATGTGCCACATGGTGATAAAAAAAATGATTCAAATTCAAAATTTTCAGCAAGTTGAAAATTTATGTCTCGTAAAATGTTGCATTGGAAAGATTGGCTTAGCTCAGAGGAAATGTTTTGCCCATCACAACCACATCGTAAAACTGATGGCAAATGTCGAGGCGGTGGTCAATTTAAATTTTGTATACATTGCTACCTTCTGCTTACTTCAGAGATGCAAATATATTGGTGATCTTAATGATTTAAATATAACTTTACAATCATAGAACCCACTAAAACATGATATCTGCAATCAAATGTTAAGTGATTGTTGGCAAATCAGTGGTAAATTTGCTTAGGCGTTCCTGGATTTTGTAAGCTCAGAAAGATCCGTCTCTGAATCTATAAAATATGACTTGGTTCTTTTATTTCCCTTCAAAATAATAGTTCTTGAGCCCATGTATAATCATTTTCTTTGTTAATTTATTATACTTCACGTTGGTCATCTTGAACATTCTGCACGGCGGATCAGGAGTTGCTGGAGGTGCAGCATCTGGGAAGACTACAGTTTGTGATATGATTATTGAACAGCTTCATGATCAACGTGTCGTACTTGTTAATCAGGTAATGCAAGCTATCTTCATGTACATAAGTCAGAAAATACAGAATGAAATTACTGAACTTTTGGAATTTCAAATTCAGAAGGGAAGAGTCCAACAACCTAGTCTAGATTATTTTTACTCTTGTAGTCCTTTTAAATGTACCAAGTGCAATCTTTTTCAAATTGAAATATCAGCAGTACTTCAATTACTTCATAGTTCATGCTAACAGAGACTGTTCAGCTGTCTGTTTTTTTTTTATTTTTTCCGTCAGTTATATCCCTATTTCATGGCCGCAACTTCTTAAAGTGATTTAGACGTGTATTTATCTGAATTTTTCATTTAATTTATTTCTTTGGGGTGGCTTCTGAAGACTTGCCTTATATCTAATACACGTAACTATGAGACATTTTGGCAGGATTCCTTTTATCACAATTTGACACCAGAAGAACTTAAAAGAGTCCATGAATACAACTTTGACCATCCTGGTGGGTATTGTCTTAAACTTTGATAGTTGTCAATCTTGGATGTTAACCAGACCCCTGTTTATTCAAGTAATTCATTCTTCTCTCTTCAAGGGTTAAAAAAAGGGCTTGTCCTCTATATGCAAAGTGCTAACTATTTCGTTCAAGCATTCGCATTCATGCATATTTTCTAATTCATTTTGTGTTTCTTATAAACTGTACAAAGCCACAGTATCATGTCGAACTCTTTTCAGCTGTATATGTAAGAACTATGATAAAATGTAATTCTTAGAAATGCCTTTCTAAAATTTTAGCTACTTATTTCTCGCGTCATTTGTAAAAAGTTTTTGGCTCAGATAACAGCAGTTTTAGGAAAAATTTGAAGGTTTTAAATAATGTAGTATCCAATGAAGCGCCATCTGGATTTAATTTAATTTATTTTCCTGTCAGGAGATGTTGCTCTACTAGATTTATCTGTTGTGTTTGTCCTGTATCGTGAAAGGATATTCATGCTTTCTATTAATTCAATTTGTTTGTCTTATTTCAGATGCATTTGACACGGAGAACCTACTTCGTATCATGGAGAATTTAAAACATGGTCAAGCAGTAGATATTCCAAAATATGATTTCAAGAGTTATAAAAATGATGTCTTCCCGAGCCGAAGAGTAATTTTCTTTCTGTTTTATAATATCCCTTTTTGTAAATTTCTTTCACTTTTTTGTAACTTAATTTCCTTTGGTCGCATTTGGCAGGTAAATCCCTCAGATGTTATTATTTTAGAAGGCATACTCATCTTTCATGATCCGCGTGTCCGAGATTTGATGAATATGAAAATATTCGTAGATACAGGTTCGTTTTTCTTTTCCTATCCACAGTTATTTGCATCATTCAATAAGCAATAAGTCTGTCAAATTGCATTCTATGTTGGGCAGTAGCTATTTGGCATTATGGGAATTTGATTCTAACATTTCTTATGAGCAAAATTATTAGGTTTATCATTTCCTCCTGTCTTGCTTCCTTGTATGTTAGAGACATAATTCCCCTAAGAGTAGCTCAAACGATTTGCTGCAAAATTCGGCGAGCATATCACCTATCACCTGTCTCTATTGGATCTGATCAAAAAAAAAAATGCACTATGATTCCATTAATTTTTATTTACATAATTGCCAGGTTTATCATTTCCCCCATTTTGCTCCCTTGCATGCAAGACATAATTCCCTAAGAGTAGCTTAAAGAACTTGCTATAAAATTTCAGAGAGCTTATCCCCCGCATTTATTGGATCAGACTAATATGATTTTTTTTAGTTGATTAAGTTACTACTATACGTGTAATCTTGGGAGTATTTCCGCAGTTACTTGTAGATACTTTCTTTTGCAATTTTGTTGAATCAACAAGGTTGATGTTTATTAGGGTGTTCTTACTATACTTCTTCTTTTTCTAGTTTGTATTATGTATTATGGCATCTTTTTATATGTGGTTCATCTCTTACGTAATTGTTGTTCCTTCGAATGTCATTCCAAGTGCAGATGCTGATGTACGCCTAGCCAGGAGAATAAGGCGCGATACATCAGAAAAGGGTAGAGATATTGGCATGATACTTGATCAGGTAGCGAAATGTGGTTCCTTTATTTCAGATAATTCTTGACTAGTATAGTCTAATTAGCTGATTCCTAAGATGCATTTTCAGTTAGTTTATATACTATGTTGGCAAATTGATCCCAGGCCCGGGAGTTATATAAGAGGGTTTGGACACATTACAAGGAGATAGCTAGATATTAAATAGGAGAAATATGAGACTAGTATTTAGATTATACTTCGTAGATTTTTTTTAAATAGCCTACAACACCCTAACCTAAAGGGAGTTGAACCCCCGACCTAATACTACCCTACCCACCTCAATACCACTCAGGCTTGATTATACTTCATAGTTGATTATTCATCATAGTAAAAAGAGCAAAATAGAAAGAAAAAAAAATCATCATAGTAAATGCCAATTGCCGTGTGGAAGTTATGTTAGTTTTTTCTTGTTGATTTTACATTCTTTATATTCTGTCCTTTGGTGTATCTCTGCATTTTAAGATTATCGGAAGTTTTAAGTTTCCATTTACAGTTGATGCTGAGCAACAATTGATCACTCACTAATCATCAGGATTCATCTGCATGCAGTACTCAAAGTTTGTAAAACCTGCTTTCGACGATTTTATACTTCCAACAAAGAAGTATGCTGACATTATCATTCCTCGTGGAGGAGACAATCATGTTGCCGTCGACTTGATCGTACAACATATTCGAACTAAACTTGGTCAACATGATCTTTGTAAAATATATCCTAATTTATATGTCATCCAATCAACATTTCAGGTATCCTTTCCATCTTATTAATTTATTAAGTAAACCTATTATATTTTCTAATACGAGTTTTATAGATCTACTATCCTTTCATTCCACGACTTAATTGAAACTTGAATTAAGGTTGCTCCACCACACCTCAACCTTTTTTACCCTTGCTATTGAGTTGACATCATCTTTTTTCTTGCCCAGATACGTGGTATGCATACACTTATACGTGATGCTCAGACAACAAAACATGACTTTGTCTTTTATTCTGACCGGTTGATTCGATTGGTATGCCTATGTATTTCTTATTCGGCATATTTTCATTGAGATAACCTTCGTTTGTTTACTTGTTTATTTTGTTTAATTCTGTGCATCTTAGGTCGTTGAACATGGTCTTGGACATCTTCCTTTTACAGAAATGCAGGTGACAACGCCTACTGGTGAGCCACCATGTTTAATTATTTGTGATACACCCTCAAGTTTCTTTAAGATTTTCTCTGTGTATTTAATGCATTACTTATTGAATGCTCTGGCGTTTAGTTTGCAAATATTCCTTTCCTGCCTCAAAGGTGCTTTTAGCTTAGTAAAATAAGTATTTTAGTATTGTTCATTTATGTATAATATTCTTCATTGCTCATATCACAACTTCAAGTTGAACAATATTGAAATAAAAAGCATGGACTTTAACCATGAATGGTGAAATTTTTGACATGGGCATCCTGAACCTCGGGTTATTTTCTTTTTGGTGAAGCGTTAGATTCAGTTTCAAGTTTCCGAGTTTTGTAGCTTTTGGCGTTTATATATTCTTCTACTGCTTTGATTGAAGTGTTAAAAACAGTATGTACATTTTGGCCCCTTTCCCTCTTGACTGCTTATATAATTGCTATTTTGTTCTCCAAATCTCAGATTGTGTTTCTATATATTTTTATGTTTTCATGGAAGTATTAATCATTGGGAAACAAACGTTGGGAATTGAAATATTTGGTTTCGTTCTTGGACTATTTCAAATACGTGCTGCTCTTGAATATGGACTTTCATGACTTATAAGAACCGTAATGAATTGAACAGTAACACAATGAATGTATGTCTTCCGGTTTGATGTTATACGACTTTTTAAGAACTTTCATGATTATTTGTTGCATGTTTCAGAAATCATCTTCTTTATTTGACGTAACACTTGCTCATCCAGCAGTCTATCTTGACTTATTGCTTTTACATTGTAGTGCTCGTATGAAAATAACACCTATATTTCTTTGAATCCTCTGTAAATGCAGGATCGGTGTACACCGGAGTAGACTTCTGTAAGAGATTGTGTGGTGTCTCTGTTATCAGAAGGTAAAAAAATCATCTGTATTTTTTCTTCAATTGTTTCTGTACTTTCTCGAAAGCGCGTCTGTTATTTTTTTTATTCTCTTGCGTTCTACCTTTTGAAATAACATTCCTAGTGGTGAGAGCATGGAGAATGCCTTGCGCGCATGTTGCAAAGGTATCAAAATTGGCAAAATTCTGATTCACAGAGAAGGCGATAACGGTCAACAGGTTAGCAGAAAGTGTTCTTTCTTATTCCTATATGATGGATGCCCAACACTTGCTTCCATTGTTTTCTGATGAATCGATCTTTATTCATGCAGCTGATCTATGAAAAACTGCCTACCGACATCTCAAATAGACACGTCTTACTATTGGATCCGATTCTTGGCACAGGTCAGCCTCTTTATAATAATTCATCTTGCCAAAGTATTATTTTCTTTCTGTATTTATTTTCATTTCCTCATTTTTAAATATCGGTTTATCTCCAGGAAATTCGGCTGTTCAAGCGATTTCTCTACTGATCAAGAAAGGTGTACCGGAGTGCAATATCATATTCCTTAATCTAATTTCTGTGAGTTCACTAAACTCTAGTGTTCCCCTTTCTTTCTCCCTCTCGAGCTACTTAAAATCTGAAATTATTTACGGTTAATTATTCAGGCACCTCAAGGAGTACATGTGGTGTGCAAGCGTTTCCCTCGATTGAAGATAGTGACATCTGAGATTGAAATTGGCTTGAATGAAGATTACCGTGTTATCCCTGGTATGGGCGAATTTGGCGATAGATACTTCGGCACAGATGACGAGTGAGCCCCCCACCCCCCACCCCCCACAGTGGGGGCCCACACCCCCCCAGTTATACCTCCACCTGATTTAATTATAGTCACAAATGAAACGAAATATCAGCTCAATAAGGATAAAAAGCGCGCTAATAATTATCTGAATGCCGACGATTTATTCAGGCATTTGCACATTAAGCAGGATATGTGTTCATGAGTTATAAGAACTATACATTACTGCTGCATGGGTGAAGTAAATCACCTGTTTCGACTTTCGACGTTTCAATGACTGGCTATGTTATATAATTATCCCGGTGATGTTTTAATCACGGGTAACAATTTTCCGATACACGGACATCTGAAGATCAACGGTTATTATTCTCTACATAGTTTTCGATTTTATTTATTATTATTGTAAACACGTTAATTAGTAGAGAGTTAGTTAGATAAGAAGTTGGTTCACTAACGTCGCAATCAAACGGAAGGAATAGACGGAGGGAGAGGGAGAGAGCGTTAAAAGATATTTTTTGGAGTTTCTCTCTTGGAAAATATCTGGGGGTAAAATGGGGTTTTTAAGGAATTGGATAATAATAGTGTCATAGCGCGTTGGTGGTCACTCGTTGCTCTATCCCCAAGTACACGATAACCTTCGTTGGGCTGGTCTTCTGACACGTGTCCAAGATGGATGGTTTTGGAATATTCCGTCTGGATACATGGTTTCTATATAGATACTGCATATTTTCCCCGCCTTTTTAGTACTACCTAGCTTATCCTGCAAATATATCCATACCTGCAAATTCAAAAACCATGTCTGCATTCGTAGGCAAGTACGCTGGTAAGTCTCCCATAACTTATAAACCTATATAACTGATTGATGAAACGTAAATATGAATTTCAATTCAATTCGAATTTATGCATGCATGCAACTTGTTAATTTGTGTATGTAGAGGAACTGATCAAGAACGCCAAGTACATAGCGACTCCGGGAAAGGGAATATTGGCCGCAGACGAGAGCACAGGGACCATCGGAAAACGCCTCTCGAGTATAAACGTGGAGAACATCGAATCCAACCGCCAGGCACTCCGTGAGCTTCTCTTCACCTCCCCCTCCGCCCTCCCCTTACTCTCCGGCGTCATCCTCTTCGAGGAAACCCTCTACCAGAAGACCACCGACGGGAAACCCTTCGTCGATGTCCTTCTCGACAACGGCGTCCTACCAGGCATCAAGGTAGACAAGGGCACCGTCGACCTCGCCGGCACCAACGGCGAGACCACCACCCAGGGCTTGGACTCCCTCGGCTCCCGCTGCAGCCAGTACTACAAGGCCGGCGCCAGGTTCGCCAAGTGGCGCGCCGTTCTCAAGATCGGTGCCACCGAGCCGTCCGAGCTGAGTATCCAGCAGAACGCACAGGGCTTGGCGCGTTACGCGATCATCTGCCAGGAGAACGGGCTCGTCCCCATCGTTGAGCCGGAGATCCTCACCGACGGGAGCCACGACATCAAGCAATGCGCCGCCGCCACCGAGACGGTGCTTGCGGCGGTTTACAAGGCCCTCAACGAGCAACACGTGCTCCTCGAAGGGACTCTCCTGAAACCTAACATGGTCACTCCCGGTTCCGACAGTCCCAAGGTAAATAAATAATAATTACAGTAGAACCTCGATAAATTAATAATACTCAATAAATTAATAATATTACTTAAATAATAGTTTCTCTCGGTTCCAACTCGGTGACAACGTGTTAAATTATTAACTCGATAATTTAATAATTCGTTAAATTAATAAATTAAAAAATTTCTAGTCGGGCTGTATTAATTTATAGAGGTTTAACTGTACTATTTCTTTGTTTTAATTTTCCGATCAATTTTAATATTTTTAATAAAAAGAAATAAAGGCGTAAATAAATATATACGGGATAATTGAAGGTGAGTCCGGAGGAGATAGCGGAGTACACGGTGGCGGCGCTGCGGAGGACAGTGCCGCCGGCGGTGCCGGGAATAGTGTTTTTATCCGGGGGGCAGAGCGAGGAGGAGGCGACGGTGAATCTGAATGCGATGAACAAGTTGGAAGTGGTGAAGCCGTGGACGCTGTCGTTTTCGTTCGGGAGGGCGCTGCAGCAGAGCACGCTGAAGACATGGGCGGGGAAGAAGGAGAATGTGGAGATAGCGCAGGCGGCGTTCTTGGCTAGGTGCAAGGCTAACTCCGAGGCTACCCTCGGCAAGTACGGCGGCGGAAGCGGAAGCGGCGGCGATGGTCTGGCCTCTCAGAGTTTGTACGAGAAAGGATACAAGTACTAATTGTGAAAATATGCAACTTCTTTTTTCTTCAACTAAATTATCAAGTCTTGTATTTTTGTTTTGCCAAAGTTCTACTCCCTCCCTTCTTTTTGAATTCTTTACAATTTTTTTTTATTCTCCATATTATCTATTATTTAATACCAATATTATTAATTACATTTTTTTTATATATTCTGGAAAATTAAAAAATAAAATTACTGGAAGGATAATTTGGTCACATTACATTGTTTTTTTTCCTAAAGTTAATATATATTATGTATCTTACAAAAGGGTAATCACTAGTAATTACAACCCTAATAGGAGATGTTAAAAAATTAAAAAAATAAATCATAATAAGAAGTTTTGTTATACCCAAATATTAAAAACAGAAGTAATATTAAATCAAATAGAATTAGGACTCAAAATTGATGTATTATAAATACAACTGCACCCAACGCTATTCTTCATCATTCTCTCAATCTTGCTTTCTTTTCTACTTCTCTCTCTCTAGATTAATTATAGATTAATTAATTAATGGCTTCATCGATGAAGTTTATGTTTTTAGTTGTGGCTTTCCTTTTCTTCGTGTCACAATATTCTGTTGCTCAAAAAAGTTGCGCGTACGATTACATGTTCGAAGGTCGATACGCTACTCGCGACTACAACGGTAACTTGATCAACCCTCCACCCCCCAACCGTCCCTTGTACATCTCCGCTAATTCAGTTTGTCACGATCCGGCAGGTAAGTTTGATCGATCGTATATCAATGTTTCATCAATTGATTTCGTGTTTTTTCTTTAATCCTTGATTTCGAAGAATCTTACAATTTAAGAATCAATTTTCAATTTTTCAGATTGTAGTGATAAACTTGAAACGAGTCTTGCTTTCATCGGACTAGTCAGCCAGAACTTTTACAACGATGCGATCTTACAAAGGAAAACGATTCCGGAGTTGAAGAGCATGATCCCGGTCGTTGTTAGCTCGGCTATTGATATTGCTAGGGTACGTAATTTATATAAATATTTATATACAATATATATATATATAGTATTCGACATTCTTATTGATTTGTGTCGTCGTTGGATTTTAATTTGCAGGAACAAATTGATTCGGGGAGTCAAAGAGTAATTATTCCCGGATACATCCCACTCGGATGTCTCCCTATCTATAAAACCGTATTCCAAACGAAAAACTTGGCGGCATACGGCTTAAGCCATTGTCTGAAGCGATTCAACTACTTGACGAGGTCCCACAACGAACAACTGCAAGCAGCCATAGCCAAGCTGGCACGAGAGAGGCCAAACGCGGTAGTAATCTACGCTGATTTCTACAATGCTTACCTATATCTCCTCCGTGTCGCTAGACATAACGGTACGTCTCGATTCAAAACAAGCTAGCTAGTATTTCTTCGATTTGTTTGAAATTTTAGTAGAATAAAAAAAAAACAATTTTAATATAATTTATAATGTTTAATTTGGATGGCAGGATTTGAGATTAAAAAGTCTTGCTGCGGAAGGGGAGGCGATTACAACTACAACATTAAAAGAACGTGTGGAGCTACGGATATTCCGCAATGCCCCGATCCCGAACGTCACGTAAACTTCGATGGTGTCAATTTGTCTGAAATCAGCCACAAAATCATGGCTAGTCGATTGGCGACCCTTATCTTACCCAAGCTTCAATGCCGTTTCTGAAGTACTACAACCGTCAGCTAGATTAATTTTTCGGAGCTGGATTTCTTGTACTAGTTTAGTTAGATCTAATTTTACTCATTGCAATATTTAGAAGGATGAACTCTAGATGTTAGGTTTGGTATATTCGTGCACTTGACACTTAATTAATAATTAATAAGAATTTTAGTATTCATATTTGTGTAAATTTAATCAAATCAGGCAAGCATATTAATTTTGACAATACTATATACAAATGCAGTTACTTTTTATTTTTTATTTGTTGATAGAATCAAATTGAACAGGGGGGGCTGGTCCATTGGACCAGTTTCTTGATATCTAAAAGAAAATGGCCGATAACACTTCTAAGCACAGTGCAGTGGATGGGCCTTGGTTGAATAAAATAAAATAAAAATAGGGCCCATAAAAGGGGGCAACTATTTTGAATACTAATTTTTGCTTAGTTGAATACTACCTAGTTGAAAACCACAAATGAGTACATATTTTTAAGTTTTTTCTTACTTTAATACCAAAATAAAAATAAAAGTACAAAAATACCCTTTCATACAAAATACTAATTACATCAATTTTTCTTTGAAATTACCTATTTGAAAACCAAATAAAAAAAAAGAAAAAAAAAAAATCAAACACAAAAAACTCCTTCCGTCCACCTCCCTCCGTCCACGCCGCCCGACGCCGCCGCCGCCGCTCCAACCATCGCCGCCACCGGACGCCGACGCCAAACACCGCCGAACGCCGCCCACGCCGCCCAACGTCGCCCAAAGCCGCCGCCGTCGTCGTCTTCGAATAGTAAGTTATAGTTGTTTCGATTTTTTTTTTCTTTAATATTTATTTAAGATTTGAATGTTTGATATGGGTAATTAGGATTTGGTTGTTTTAGGTTAGAATGATCGTTAATTAGTAATGGGTGCATCTGATTTCAGTCGATTTGAGCATTGATTTGAGATTCGTGGGTCGGTTCTTCGTTCACCATTTTCGACCTGTACATGTCGATTTTCGATGAATTTTCGACAGGTTGATGTCGAAAATTCATCCAAAATCGACATGTAGATGTCGAAAATGGTGAAAGTGTTGAGTTTGGATTTTGTAATTTTCGACAGTTAACTGTCGAAAATGAGTTGCATTTTCGACAGCAACCTGTCGAAAATTCAACCAATTTTCGACAGTTAACTGTCGAAAATTCAACCAAATTTCGACAGGTTGCTGTCGAATTTGAACTGTGATATTTTTTTTTTTTTTTTTTTTTTTTCCTATTTTTATTTGCTTGTGTTTATATTATGTATATTAATTTTTATTTGTGTGTTATTTTGCAGTGGAAGAACCACGTCAACCTCGTATACCTCCGACTGTCTCGAACCGTAAAAAGAGGAAGGAATTATCCGATAAAGGCAAGGGCATAGCAATCACGACCAAGAAAAAGACCACGACCAAGAAGAAGTCTGGAGAGGGTTCTTCGTCAACGAATCCGGTGCCGGCTCTACATTCGACTGTACAAGTTGGTGATTCGAGCAATGAACCGGTCCTAGGTCCCGAGATACCGGAATTGTACACAAAATTTGATAAGCACATTGCTTATCATATTGTGAACGGAGGGCCAGATCGTTCGGAGCGCGGCTCAGAATTTCGAATACGAAATCACACAACAACTTTGAAAGGTTGGGAGCCGGCGCCGTTTATTAAAGAGGTAGTACAAAGATGTGGTTTAATGTCAGTTGTACAGGCATCGTACAACACTGTGGACGGCCATCTACTTAGAGCCTTCGTAGCGAGCCGATGGGAGCCTCAGTCAAAGACTACTTCAACGCCTGAACGAGCGTCGTACCTGCGATCTCGATTAGATGATTTGATCCCCGATCAGGTAACATACCACTTTAATAATTTGTTATTACTACTTAAGTAGGTTTTTACATCTAATTTTTTATTTATTTTAATAGGTTATATGGTCACCGTATACGGCTATTCATGGCGACATGGTAGACTGTGGGTTGTTCGGATGGCGCAACTACAACCCATATCGCTCGGTTGCAATAGTTTCGCATTGTCCACCTCAACTTTGAGTAGTTGTAGAGCGTATTTTGAGATACTTCCACGAAGCTCATTGTATATCAACGTTTTGAAAGTGTGCTCGTAAGTATTTTTACTTACTTCAAAGGAAGCCTTGATGTCATTGTGTTGTTCGACAATTTGATTGTGGACTTTCGTATACAAATCCACAAATGTGCCAGTTGGATTACGCACATCCCTTTTCATTCGTCCGTGTGCCCCCTCCACCCTATTAGAAGTGTACGTTCCAAAATGAGTATACTTATTTGTCCACACCGATACAAGTCTCTCCTTGTACGGATCCAACCATGAATTAGCTACATACTCTATAGCCGGGAGATAACCAATAAATGTTCTTTTCAAATCCTCCCAATCCTCATTGAACTCCTCTATGGTATTTCTTTCAATAAGAGCCGAAAAACTCGACTGAAATTGCTTCCATTTGGTGATGTCCTTTGGGAACAATTTCTTACAATTGGCCACTATATTCTTGTTCACATGCCACCGACACAGCAAGTGATGACTCGATGGATACACATTGGCCACTGCTTTCATTAAACCCAAATCTCGATCTGTTACAATGCAATTAGGCCAAGGACAACTGGTCATGGCCTCCTTCAAACAACGCAACGCCCATTCAAAATTTTCCGTCTTTTCGTGGTCCAAGTAAGCAAAGGCAATTGAGAACGTCTTGTTGGTACAAGTAAAACCCACAATCTCAAGAAATGGGAGTCCGTAACGATTGGTCTTGTACGTGCAATCGATGACGAATACGTACGGATACGACTGTGCCAACTTAATGCATTTCGGGTGGATCCAAAACAAGTCGGTAATCGCATTCAACTCGTTCGATCTATGGTACGAGAGGTATTCATCTTCTTTCAACTTGACAAACAATGATTGCAATTGAGATCTCCCATCCAATTCACTGAAATTTAACTTAGAGATAGTATTGTAAACTGTCTTCATACCAGTTACATTAGACGGGTCCTTTTGCTTCAATGCTCTTAGAATTGCCCTTGGTTTCACCATTGCTTTCTTCATAGTGTGAACAAAGGAAACATCCTCCTTTGATAATCTTCCGGCATAAGAGTGTCCGTGCAAGTTTTCGAATAAGTTGTGGTTGTGAATACCACAACTAACATCCAATTTCCACTCAGCCTTTTCATCATCCTTGTGTTCCCTTGTCCCCTTCAATTTAAACGGACAATTGCATTTCTTTGAACCGGTGCTCCTTTTTCCCGGTCTTTGATCATCTTCACCTGGTACCTTCTTGCCAACATAATGGCCCCCACGCTCACAACGAACAATCACATACGGTGTCCTACGTCCTCTATCCCCGTCACTCGAACCCCCAATCATTAACACCATTCCAATTCTTTTACATACTTCACGAACCCATGCCATTAAAGCTTCTTTTGTTGGGAATTTTTCTGACGTGGTAAATGAATGGGTGCAATCGATCTACACAAAAGTGTCGAAAATATAAGACAAGTAAATTTGCAACAGGAACCAAATCGACACTTAGGAGTCGAAATCGAAGGGTATTTTCGACACATACATGTCGAAAATAAGGGTATTTTCGACACCTAAGTGTCGAATTATGATGCAATTTTCGACACGTAAGTGTCGAAAATATGGGTATTTTTGGACACTTAAGTGTGGAAAATTGCATCATAATTCGACACTTAGGAGTCGAAATCGAAGGGTATTTTCGACACATACATGTCGAAAATAAGGGTATTTTCGACCTGTATGTGTCGAAAATACATGGCGAGTTTTAAAAAAAAAAAAAATTCAAAATCGATGTTTTAGCTCAAAAAATACATAAATACATACCTGAATGGGTTCTCCTTGCTCGTAAACTACCATTCTATTGTCATTTGAGGCCATTTTGCAAGTTGTGTAAGGTTTTGATTTCTTTTGTTTTGGGGTTTTTTAGGAGGGTTTTTGGGGAGGGAGAAGAAGGAGGTGGAGGAGGTGAGGGGTTTGGGAGTGAGGAGGGAAATGTTTTTTTAGGATTTTGATTATTTGGTTTTTAAGAAAGAAAAATAGTATTTGTAATATTTTTTGGTTTTAATTTTCATTAAGGGTATTAAAGTAATTTACAATTAATTATTTAATTTCTATTTTTTTGGTATTCATCTAAGCAAAAATTAGTATTCAAAATAGTTGTTCCCCCCATAAAAATATGCAATTTTGATGAATATTTATTTTAGATAAAAGAAAAAAGGAATATGAAATAGGAAAAATACAGTTTTGGTCCTTCAAGTTTGTATCAATTACATATTTTGTGTCCCATTCAGAAAAAAACACATTTAATCCCTATATCTAAAAAAAAATTCAACTATTTTAATCATTTTCGTTAGTACTGCATTAACTGACAGAGTAACTGTAAATCGACTAAAATGACCAAAACCATTAAACTTTTGAAACATGAAGGACCAAATGTGTTTTTATGTAAAAATTGGGGACCAAATATGTAATAAGTGTACACTTGAGGGGCCGAAAGTGTAATTTTCCCAATATGAATGTTTCATCATCAACTGATGACGATTTTGGGAATATAGATTTTACTTTTTAATTTAGATTTACAGGCACTGTTAATTTAATTTATTTATTTAGCTGGACATGAAAACAAGAAACCCAATTTCATCATCATCACTTTCCCCTCTCATCTCTCGTCTCTTCCACCTCAAATACAGCTTCGTAACAAAATCATCTGTAATTAATTCCATATCCCAATTCCCGATCAGAAAACCATCACCCATGTCAATTTCCACCAAATTCACGCACTCCCTTCTCTTTCACCAATCCAGAACCCCTTTCCTCAAACCCACCAAAACCCCATTTTTTCCCCCGCACCCCACTAAATTATTCTTCTCCAAACCCATCACGATCGAAAGAATACCCACCAAAGAACCCATTTTTTCCACGCCGCCGTCGTCGTCGTCTTCTCTGCAGCCAATCGACGAGCTTCCACCGAAGCTCCAAGAAATCACCAAATTATTCCAAGGAGTTCAAGAGCCCAAGGCCAAGTACGAGCAGTTGTTGTTCTACGGAAGGAATCTAAAACCACTGGAATCCCAGTACAAAACAAATGAAAACAAGGTCAAAGGCTGTGTTTCTCAGGTCTGGGTCCGAGCCTATCTGGATGATGATAAAAACGTCGTCTTTGAAGCTGATTCCGATTCACTTCTCACCAAAGGGCTAGCTGCTTTGCTGGTTCAGGGCCTTTCGGGCCGGCCCGTCGAGGAGATTGTTAGGGTTTCGCCTGATTTCGCAATGCTGTTAGGGCTGCAGCAGAGTTTAACCCCATCTAGGAATAATGGGTTCTTGAATATGCTGAAGTTAATGCAGAAAAAGGCTCTGCATTTGTATGTTGAAGCTGAGAAGGCCAGTGATTCAAGAATTGATGTTGCAGGAGAAACCCAATTTGACAATTCGAATTTAGTAGTTAACGGTGACAGCCGAAACGGTGGAGTGAACCCCGACGAAACGGCAGCTCGTGATTCGAAGAAGGATGACGGCAATGGAAGTTTATTGGGGAGTCGGGGTTTGAGGATTAAGGAGATTTTGGAGAGAGAGCTGAGCCCCGTTGGATTGGAAGTCGACGATATATCTTATCAGCATGCAGGGCATGCTGGTGTTAGAGGGAGTGACGGCGAAACGCATTTCAATGTGAAAGTTGTTTCTGAAGAATTCGAAGGGAAGAGCTTGGTTAAGCGGCATAGATTGATTTACGGCTTGTTGCAAGATGAGCTGCAGAGTGGACTGCACGCGTTGTCGATCGAGGCAAAGACACCTGCAGAAGTTGGCAATCTGTGAAGCCTTGCAAGAACAGAGGTTTTTCTTTCTTTTTTTTTTTGTTTCTATTTAGACTGAGATTCGTGCTATGAAATTATTGATACGAGTTGCAATCAATAGTTGTTTGAATATATATTGGAATTGTAAAACGATGGATGACATTTACAGTTGATCAATACGATGATGTTTTATATTTTAGGTTTCTCAATTTTCAATTACTAGGGTTTGCTTTCTACGATATTCTGCTAGTTTGTGTTGTTTTCCACGCTCGTTTCTTTAGTTATCTTGAGAATACTTGGTGGTTGAAGATAGTTGGAGTATATTCTTGACCAATTTGTTATAGAGAGAATAAACCGACATGCCAAAATCTCTATTCAAGATGCAAATCCATGAACTATATAAGGCTCTTTAGTTATCAAATCGAAATCTTGTTGAATTTCTGAGTGATATATGATCCCGTGATTCGAATGTAGATTGACGTATGTTAAGATGTTAAGACAGGTTGATCTGTGTAATATCGATTCGTTTAGGGTTGATTTTATGTTGTCTTTTCAGACTTTGATGTCTTTGGTTCCAGTTTCGCAGCATGCTCTGCCTCTGCCAGATTTAGTGTAAAAACACGCATATATAATTCGAATGCTAGGTGTAAATATCCCCTAATTTTGAGACAAATAAGAACCCTTTAAGCCGATCGATGCACTACAAACAAATGTTCACCGTAAAGATGTTTATACTAAAAACTACTTCCGTTTTTTTTTTCTTCGAGTCCTAATGTATATATAAAAATAATTGAAGCATATAAAAAGGCAAGACCTTTCTTCCCTCTACCTCTTGGTTCTGCAACTTCTAGTAATCAACACACCGTTTGGCGGACTCGTCATTTCCAGTTGACACTCTCCATGCAGCCAATAAGAATACCGAATCGATCCCATCTTCACTTTAACCTTAAAAGTTCCTCTAACGGTAAAGGCGACCCTGTTCCTCTGCTCCTGCTGTTGAAGTTCCATAGCAACACTCGGTGGTGGATACATCAAGCTCGATAGCAAATGAATCGTCACCAAACGAGATTCTCCAGGCTTCTGGCTGAAGGGCTGAAGAAGTTGACTCGCCGCCAGATTTTCCGAAAAGTAGAGCTCAACGAACAGGTACTCGAATCTCACGCTCAATTTCTTGTTCGGGTTTGAAATATTTGCCACGATTGTTACATCGCCGTTGATAGACTGCGGTGGATTGAAAGTGATGGCACCGAGGCTGGCCGATGCGGCGTCGAACGCCGGATTTCTTGGTTGGACCGCGAGAAAGACGATTAGAGTTGCTATGCCGGAGAAGATTATGAGGATGCTGATTATCATGCATATGATGGCGGCGCACCATACTATGGGCTTGGTTTTACGAGGATGCCTGAGGATCGGTTTCTCCTTCGATCTGAACTTGCTGATGTACAGTAGGGAATCGGGCGTTAGATTCTGGTGGTGGTTCTTGGGTAATACAATCTGGTAGAGAGGAGATAGTTTGCTTTGTTTGATTGTTGGAGAATCAGTTGTGTGTGTTGGAGAATCCATTTTTTTCTTTTTTCTTTGGAATGAAGAGAAATTAAATTGAGTTTTGATTACTTAAATAAAGATGGAAGTGGAGTTGGGGGAAAGCTGAATGTTGAATCTAAAGTTATGATTTTGGGTGTTATTAATTTGAATTGTGTTTTCTTTTGCTTTTTAGGAAGCAAAACGACAGAGGAGATGTGCAACTTTTAAGCACTTTTTTTTCCTTGAATAAGTGATTGTTTGAGGAATCGAGGTGTCAAGATGAGGGGCATTTTGGGGAAATAGTGAGGATGAAATCAACGGCTGGATATCCAGTGGGTCCCATAATTTCATGACCACCTTTTTTGTGTATGGTTAGGTGGTGTGGTATGCTTACTCATTAAGGAAGTGCATGAGGAAGATATAGCCAATGTTGATTAAGGTAATTTCATAATTTGTGTAGGTATGGGGCCCAATTTGGCAAGCTGGGCCCGATTGGTAAATATGGGCCTGCTGAGTCCAAAAAGCCCAATGAAGGCCCGATTAGAACGGATTTGAATATATCTTTCAAAAATAGATAAGAAAAATATACAAATTAGGCACGATTATATACATAGTGTGGTCCGACGTCCGATGAAGGAATTTAACCACCAAATAACCATGTTACACAAAGAAATTCAAACTTGGATCAATAGCCACAAACTTACTTATTACAATTGTTACGTCATCACTTGCGGGGTAATTTTACGAACATTCTTATGTATATAATATACGATAACATGTTATATAGGCGGTGTGTTTTATGACCCAATTTAGCATCTATAAAACACAATCAGTCTACATTTTTATATCATAGTTGATAGGGACTCAATTTAATCATTACTAGGACACACCATTATTTATAGAATAATAGATTGTACTGACAAGTACAAAATTCTACTACAGAGTGGTACTACTAGTATTAATTAAGCCTGCAAAAGATATATATATCACCTGATAACCACAGTAGAAACGAATTACGAGAAAAGAAATACATAAAACCAAGAGGAAGATCAGCGGACACATTTAAGGGTGTATTAATTAATTAAAGTAAATTACGGCAAAAGGATTCTTGAAGTACGTGCAAATTACGAAGAAACCCTTTAATGTCAATAATTATAATCAACCCTTTTAACTATTTATTTTTCTGACGTTTAATTTTTAACGTGTCAAATATATATATATAATTGTGTGACTAAGTTTTACTTAATTTTATATAAAAAATATATATATATATGTGTATAAGTTTTAAAGTTCCAAGACCAAGTAAAATTAACAAATCTTGAAGTGGGATTATGGCAATTAATAAAAGCAAAAACAATCATTACTCATTAGTCTTTTCGGTCACGTGGGTCATCATTTTATAGGGTCTGATGATCAACCTAGCTCTACTAGCTAAAAATGGTTTTGTTAGATATTGGATAGATACAGTAATACAGTTCAGTATATATATGTCTAGTGATTTTTTTTTTTTAAATATTTAATTTCAGATTTTTAGGATAATTACAAATAATCACTAAAATACAATTGAATTAAAGAAATTCTCATTTATTTTCAACATTGTACTTAATATTTCATTTTAGAATTCTATATATTCATCCTTGTGCACAAGTTTCTATGAAAAGATACTTTTAGTATTTTTTATTTAATAATATTAATTAGCGGACACAAGGCAGTTTAATCGACCCACTAATTATTATATAAATCAAAAGCACCGCCTTTAATATACTGTGGCAGATAATCTTTCTCATTAACATTCAGCATAAAGAAAAGAAAATAATGGGACGACGAGTAATTAAGCAGTTTGTAATTCAATATTACGTCGACGACGACGATGAAAACGACAATCGTCCATTACCGGCGGCGCCGCCACTATCCAGCGCCATTTCTGCTGAATATTTTTCTTACATAAATTATACTGTTGGCCGTGAGATATCACTTCAAGTTAACCTACCATTGCCCCTTGCCCGCGACGACGGCGACGTAAATCTAAAACGTTTGGCCGTTTTTATTAAAGAAACCACTCCGCCGCCGGAAAGTAGCGGTGCTAATGTTTCCCGCCGCCGTCATCGGAAAACGGTTGAAATGGCCGGTGGGTCGGTGAAAGTTGCAGAAGAAAAGGAGGCGATGCTTAAAACTAAGATGATCATCAGCAAGAAAAGGATGAAGCATTATAATTACAGTAGCAGCCACCGGATTCTGCTGGTCGGCGAGGGAGATTTTTCTTTCTCCGCCTGTTTGGCGGTGGCGTTTGGTTCTGCTTCTAACATGATCGCCACTTCCCTCGATTCTCAAGGTATACGTATATTTATTTATTTATTCATTTAGAACATCCAATATTTATTGTTAAGCCCTTTAAAATTTTAAATTAATGCAAAAAAGTCCTAATTTAATTTTTTTGCGACGCAAATCCCAAAAATTCAAGCCCACCCAGCAACCAACTCCTGGACTCGACACACCAAAATTCAAAATCTAAATTAATGCAAAAAAGTCCTAATTTTTTATTTTATTTTCGAGATGCTGAACCCGAATCCCGAAAAATTAAGTCCACCGTGTGACTAAAATCCTGGACTCGCCACTAATCATACACGTTTTAATTTCTCTTAATAATTTTGTTCAGCATTCTTGGAGGAGAATTATGGGAGTGCTCCTTCCAACATAGAGAAATTAAAACGCAGAGGTTGCAAAGTCATGCATGAAATCGATGCCACTAAAATCGCGAATCACGAATCGCTCGGACGCCTTAAATTTGATCGTATAATATTCAACTTCCCATTTGCCGGTTTCTTTACGAGTCTGTCTCCCGAACATAAACTCCGGTTAGTTAATTAGCCCACATTTCATTCAGTTATTTACGATGCAATAAGCGATATATTAATCGACATTTCTCCTTGGTGTATCTGCTGCAGACGACATAGGAGACTAGTGAGCCTATTTCTGAAGAACGCAGAACAGATGATAAGTGAGTGTGGCGAGATTCATGTTACACACAAGACCAACGGGGACAGTGTCGAATGGAAATTGGAGTCGATCGCTTCTTCGCACGGGCTTAGGCTAATCGAGGCTGTGAAATTTCAGCCTCTTGATTTTCCAGGGTACAACACTAAGTATGGGTTTGGAGGCGACGGTAATTTCAATTGCTACCCTTGCCAAACCTACAAATTTGGACGTAAAATTTTGAAATGATCGATCGATCAGCTGGTTCGTGAGGTTAAATTCACAAAGTATTCCAACTTTTTAATTTTCTGTTTTGATTTTTGTGGCTTTTGATCATACTTCGTGGCGTTAATGTTTGTACATTTTGGGCACAATATGCAGCAGCACCTTGTAAGAAAAATGCAGTTAATTTGGTTGTGATTTGATGCCTTTTTTGAACCTATGTATGTAGAGAGAGATTTTTTTGCTGATTTGTTTTTAGAGGCAAGAGGGGGGTGGAGGTCAAATTTTTTTTTTTTTTTTTTTTTTGTAAAGTTTTTTATATTTTATTATTTTAGAAAAGGTAAAAAAAAAATATTTAAACTGATTTCAAATTTCAATGATCAGCCTTAAAAAAATAAAAGTGACTATTAATAGAGACTAATTAATAAATAATGAAAAAAGCTCTCGGTCTCTAGGTATTTTATAATTTGTTATCACCTTAAAGGATTTAAAATAAAAGAATAAGAATAAATATGCAGTAGAGCCCCGATAAATTAATACTTGATAAATTAATAATCTCGATTAAGTAATAGTTTCTCTCGGTACCGACTCGGTGAACACGTCTTAAATTATTAACTCGATAATTTAATAATTCGCTCAATTAATAGAATTTTCGTAATCCTGAGTGTATTAATTTATAGATGTATAACTGTATATTAAATATTTATGGTATTTAGTACGGTATACCGGGTATTATATCTTAATACAATATGAGTGCTGGAATTCAAATTCCTTTTTACCAAATATTTGGTTTGGTATTTGGCAAAAGCCCAGCCCTCCATTAAAGTATATATACAAATTTACAGAGAAGTATTTGTATTGCAATGGGGGTAATAGTATGTACGGTCGGAGCGCCATTACTGTACATCATATTATAATCATAGACTTAGACTTTTGAAACACTGTTAATTTCTTCTTCAACGGCGGTTGGTTTTGCTGTCTTCATCGTCGGCCGCCCCCACCGGCGAAGAGGTAGCTTTCCGATCATTGTGTGTGGTGATTTCCTTGCCCTAAACCCTTTCCCCCATTTTTTCTTATTTTTACTGCTTTCTCTTGCTTAGTGATTTAATTAGTGATTTTTGAGGTGTAAATATTTATATTTATATATACAGGCGTAGTAGTTCATTTGTGTTGTTGATTGATCATTGATCATTCGTCCCAGCAAATTCGAATTTTTTTTAATTGATATCAAGAGAATGGGGATTGTGCAAAGTGTGATCTCATATCTAGGCAGCGAAATTGATGAATTGGAATCGAAAAGGCCACAGTGTGACTATCCGATTCACGATTCCCGACAGACGAAACAGTATTTGACAATCTCTGTTCTTCCCGATTTAAGACACTCGTCTTCGCTTGCCAGCACGAGTGTGACTGACGACGACAAGGTAAAAACATCGGTTATTTCGATTAAAGAAACTTCACCGGAAACAACAGCATCAATGGGTTCATCTGGTGGAGCGAAAGGGAGTGATCGAGAAGAAGGTGAATCGATGATTAAGTGTACGGTTGGGATTAGATGGATTAAGCATTACAGTAGCAGCCATCGGATATTGCTTGTTGGAGAGGGAGATTTTTCGTTTTCCACTTGTTTAGCAGCTGCGTTTGGTTGGGCTTCGAACATGATTGCCACATCTCTCGATTCTCAAGGTATATATATATTCCGTTTATATTCTCTGATTGTCATTATGCCTTATATATATATACACTTGATCTTGATGTTGATGTGTTTTCTTGCATTAGTTTTCTTGGTGAAGAATTATCAGAATGCGGTACGAAACATCGTGGAGTTGAGCATTAGGAAGTGCAAGGTGATGCACGAGATTGACGCCACTAAAATGGCGAACCACCCCTTTCTTGGAGGAATCAAATTTGACCGTATAATATTCAATTTCCCGTTCGCCGGATTTTTCAAGAACTTGCCACGCGATTCCCAGCTAAAGTCGGTTTTTCTTACTCTCCGTGACCTTTTAATTATTCGAATTTGCAATTTTAAATAAAAACTCTGGTTTTCATATGTAGACGTCACAGAAAGCTTGTGGGCATGTTTTTGAAGAACGCAAAGGAAATGATAAGTGAAAACGGCGAGATTCATGTATCGCACAAAACGAACGACTTTCATACGGATTGGAATCTGAAATCACTTGGTGCTGCACACAGGCTCGAGTTGATTGAGGCTGTCGATTTTAACGGTGTCGATTATCCAGGGTACAACACCAAGTGTGGATTTGGAGGTGACAATAACTTCAATTGTTACCCCAGCAAGACTTACAAATTTGGTGTCAAGTGTTGAAATATTGCCATCACAAATTGAGCTAACAATCAATATGTATATATAAATATTTCCTTGTTCTTATGTAAGTACTCTGTATTTAATGTGTGTTTGCATTTATGTATGTGTTAAAAATGGTGATTTGGTGAAAATTAACCATTTAAAATTTAAGATACAAATAGATGTTTGAGGGGTAAGTGTTACAAATAATACTTTTAGGGGTAAAAGTATTACATAGGCTATACTTTAGGGGTGGAAATATATTTAACCATAGAATTTATTAGATACATCATACATAAAGAATATGGGGAGGGGCCGGGGAAGATCAGAGGGTCGGCTGAAGGCAGTTTAATCAACCCCTCATCCTTCTTATATAAACCATGCACCCTTCAAGAACGATATATAGAAGAAGGAGAATCGTCGTTCGACAACATACAGCTGGTTGGCGGCATTGTGTTTCCGGCAGCGAGCGAGAAAAAGATGGGGCTGATTAAGAATTACAGTAGCAGCCACCAGATTCTGATCGTTGGCGACGGTGACTTTTCGTTCTCCGCTTGTTTGGCCAAAGCTTTTGGCTGTGACGCGTCGAATATGACTGCTACATCCCTGGATTCTCAACGTATTTATGTTTTTTTTACCATTTGTTATATATATTTATATATTGATCGGATATTTGAGTTTATATGTTGTATTTTGACAGGTTTTTTGACCTTGAATTACGCAAGTGCATTGTCCAACCTAACGGAATTGAAGAATAGGAAGTGCAGTGTGATGCACGAGATCGATGCAACTGAAATGGCGAGCCATTCGATCCTGGGAACAATGAAATTCGACCGCATTGTATTCAATTTTCCTTTTGCTGGATTTTTTTACGACTTGCCCCGGAGTTCTCAGCTACTGTGCGTTACTTACTTCTCGATCGTACATACCTTAATTAACTTTATTATTGAATGTTGGTTGAGTATTTAATTTTGCGTGTTATATACATGACATGCATGCATGCATGCAGGCGTCATCGAGAACTTGTGAGCGAGTTTATGAAGAACGCGAAGGAGATGTTAAGTGAGAGTGGCGAGATTCATATATCGCACAAGACCAACGGTTTCTTCGATCAATGGAATCTCGAATCGCTTGCGAATAGCAACGGGCTAAAGCTTGTCGAGGCTGTGGATTTTAACAATGTTGATTATCCAGGTTACAACACCAAGTATGGATTTGGGGGTGATGGTAATTTCAATTCCTCTCCCAGCAACACTTACAAATTTGCCCGGCTTTCTTAGAACTTTCGCTCTCTTATTATTATTATTTTTATTGTGGCAGTTCAATTCTGTGTTTTTTTTTTTGGCAACTCATGTTGTTTTAGTGTTCTGATAAAAAAGGAGAACAAAAAAATGTTTGTTTGTGTGCAAGTCGGTTTTTATGCATTGAACATTAGCCGCTACCTTCCGCCGTGGTAATGTCAAATTACAAAAATACCCCTTATATTTGGCTCTTAACTATGTATCATTTTACACGTCCTTCATTTATAGTGTCATATTTAGCAAGTGATTAAGGAATTTTTTTCATAAATTAAAACAATATAATTGATGATGTGATTGGAATTAACCAAGCTAGATATTTAACCTAACCTAAGAAATGAACATAATTTACCCATTATATTGAACATAATATAATAGGCTTACTCTTTGAGCAAGCTCACTGTTCACTATTTGTCATTGCCTCTTCCACTACTTAAAAAGCTATATAAAGTGCAGTATATTACTATTGGCAGTCGTCCTTGATGTGATTTATAGTCTTTTTCTTTTTCAATTAATAATAATTACTAATTAACAACTTGGTGGATTAATGAATTAATTAACTTAATATTTGTACGGAGCAATGATCGTCGGTCTACTAATTAACTATTTTGTAATCCTGAAGGGGGGAACTGTGGCAACTAATTACTCATCAAGTCTTTGTAAATAATAAATAAAGTCTTGCTAAATAATATCTTCTTTATTGCTCTCTCTCTCTCTCTCTCTCTCTCTCTCTCTCTCTTCATCTTCATCAGATTTTCTCTACAGCCAGCCGGATCTCCGACGATCAAGTGCCGGCCGACGATCCACCGCTTGTAGACGTTGATCGTTATTCAGTGCCGATCGCCAATCATTGGTAATTGCTTCAAAGCTTCTTCATATATAATTAATAAGGTGAATTGTATTTTATAGGATCTTCATCGATCAATTGCTTACTGCTTTCGAAACATATATAAAACTACGTATATTATACTGCCTGCATGAATGAATTAATTGCAGTAAAATCGCACTGTAATTAAAGATGATCACCATGAAAAATAAATTCAGATAAAAATATACCAAATTAAACAAATTTCAGTCGACCCTGTTTATTTTCCTCATATCTCTTCACTGAAACGAGTGCATGTATAATAATGTATTTACTACATTGTCACAGCGTACCAGACTTTTCTAATCCATTTGTTAAATTAAAATAATATTTATCATGGATATATCATATATAATAAAATATCATCAAAATGAGTTTATGCATGTGTAAAAAATGATATTGTTTGACACAAATGTGGGCATAAAACAATATAATATTTTAAGAAAATTGAAAGAACTAATTGTAATAGGAAAAAAATTGTTCAGTTAGTTCAAGAGGTGGCTGGTGGGTTTTATTTATTTATTATTATTAATATATAACACAAATATGACCAAACTATATATTAAAAATTTTAAAATTAAATTTCTCTAGCTAGTTTTAAGAAAAGATAGATAGGATACCTTCATTTACCCTTGTGGTCATGGATTAAAGATTTTAAATTGGTGAATGCTATTGATTAGAAGAAGAAAAAATAATCGTCCAATATTGGTAGTGAATTTGGATTCCGCAACTATCTGCTATCCGATTTGCTACGAAATATAAGATTTTTTTACGAAATAGTTAGAGAAAAGTAGCTGAAAAGTAGAAAATTAAGGTCGAAAATCGAAAGGATTTCATATGATGAATTTATTTGTCTTCACGTGCAGCTCTGAATAATTAAGATTAAGAGGAAAATGGGAATTATCTACAGCATAATCAGATTCTTGTGCTCTAAAACTCAAACAGAGGATGAAGAAAGCGGAAGAAGCCAATTTCTTGTTCACCAGCCAAATCATTTTTTTGATATCGTTACCACATTAGATAATCGGACGCAATGGCGGTACTATGATGCGACTTCTCGACAATGGCTGCCAAAAAGCACCACCTCAAAATATATGACGCAGAAGGCGGCCTTTCCTTTTGCGGAAGTCGAGAGCAAGAAGAAAATCGTGGTTGAAAAACCGAAAGAGAAAAAGGAGGCCACCATCAATAATAATATTGTAAAGAGTAGTAGTACTAGTAGTACTAGGGTGGTGGTGGCGGCCGCGGTGGATGATGTGAGGTGGATTAAGCACTACAGCAGCCGCCACCGCATACTGGTGGTTGGTGACGGAGATTTCTCCTTCTCCGCTTCTTTGGCGGTGGCCTTTCGCACAGCTTCCAACATGACTGCAACTTCTCTTGATTCTTTAGGTACCTACCTACCAACCATGTTTTTCTTAAACCTTTTTTCTTGGATATGTAATATTAAAAAAATTACCATGCATGCATGCATATATCAGAACTTGATCTGGCTAACTTTGTCGTCGTCGTCGACCAGAGTTCTTGAAGAGCAATTACGGATATGCTGCATCCAACATTGACAAGTTAAAGAGCAGGGGATGCCAGGTCATGCATGAAATCGATGCTACTGTTATGGCGTCTAAAAAACCGTTCAAGGACCTTAAATACGACCGGATCGTTTTCAACTTTCCTTTTGCCGGATTTTACAAGAGTTACTCGATAAAATATCAACTTTTGTAAGCCTTACCCTACATTTATGTTATCTCTGCGCGCATATATATAAATCTTTCGATTTCCATTAATAATGCAGTCGGCACAAGGGACTAGTGAACCAGTTTATGAGGAACGCGAGAGAGATGATAAGTGAAGATGGTGAGATTCACATATCCCACAAGACAAATGCTTTCCACATTGATTGGGATCTCGAATCAATTGCTTCTTTACACAGGCTGAGGCTGATTGAGGCGGTCAAATTTAATCTTGGTGACTACCCGGGGTACCACACCAAGTGCTGGTTTGGGGGCGATAACTACTTCAACTGCAACCCAAGCCGAACCTACAAATTTGGACTTGTGACGACTAATGTCCGGTCGTACTAATTATGGTTTTTACGCATTTTATTTTCGATGTAAGTATAAATTATGCTCTGCTCGTTTCGAACTTATGTATGTGGATTTTCGGGGGCAATTTATCGTTCCTACCCAAGTCAAAACGGCGACGTATCGTCTATGTATGGTATCTTAATTCTCAACTCTATTTATTAATGGTGTGCATCATATATATTGTGTATAGAGATACAACTGAGTGCATGACTAGTGAAATTTATTCATTCCATTATATACTGATGTATACTAGAATATTTTATAAAATAATTCCTGAAATATGATTGAATTAAAAAAAAAAAAAAACCCGAGTTATTTTTTAAATCATAGTGTTTAAGGCTTAAATTAACCAAAATGATTTGATCGGGAGTGGATATTCATTTTAAAATATTTTTTAATACTCCCTCTGTTCCACAATAACTGTCTCTTTTTAAAATTATTTTTGTTCCATATTATCTGTCACTTTACATTTCCAACACTGCATTAATTGTGTAATTATCAATTTTACCCTTATTAACTATCTTCAACACTCTCTCACATTAATTATTGGCAAGGGCATTTTAGTATAAGCACATGTATTTTTCTAAAATTAAGCAAAATTTATTGAGATCCTTAATCCTTGTGCACAAGCTAAAAACGACACTTATAAAGGAACGGAGGGAGTATGACAGTAGGGTATACGCGTCAATATATGTTAGTTGATAACAGGGATATACCGTTCCTTCGATGCTACACCCGGTGAAAAACACCGGGTGTAGCATCGAACAAATCGGGATATACTCGTCAATACCACCGCTCAACTATGAATCTTCTTACACGTCTACCCTTGTTTCAAATTTAATAAAATCTTATACATTATATGGAATATCTTAATTTGTACCAGATTTATCTCATTTAAACTCCACATTTTGAAGCAAAATGATTATAAGATGTGTTTTTTGACTTGTATATATCAGGTTGTGGTGCATTAGAAACTGTATTCTTACACAAAACAAGTACAACTAGAGAACATTCACTGATTATGTTGAATTTGACACCATAAGGATGGATATGTAAGAAAATTTATAGTTGAGAGGGTAAATAATATTATCCAAACATTAGAGTTTTTTTTTTTTTTTTTTTTTTTTTTTATAGTTTAACCATAGTAACTTAGCCTTCAAATCTTATATATATAAAAGTAAGAAACGCTAGGACAACCTAAGAAATCCTAATGATATATTTGTAATTTTTTTTAATATTAATTATTCATATTTTTCATTTCCTATTTTGCGGCTTTTTTTCTCTAATGACCTTCTTAGCCAATCAAATTCGCAAATCCGTTAACAAAATTCTAATCCGTTCAAATAGTATATTTTTTTTTTATTATTTCTCCTCTCTCTCTTATACAGATCCAATGCAAATTTATTTAAAACATTTAATGATCATATATTTAATTTTTCATCCTTTTCTAGTAATGTATAATAAGTTAATAACTTGAAAAAGTTGAGAACGTATTAAAACAGGTATCATGGCGTTTAGGGGTGTAGACCAATTTATTATTTTCGTAAACCTTTTAATATTCTCCTAAAAAAGAACTCTTCACCTTCTAGAATTGAAAAATACACAAATCATATTATGAAAAGCCCAAAAGAAATGAAAACAAGAACAAAAGTACAAGCATGTAAAGCGCACACACTAAAAAGAGTGGCGTGCGAGAGTAGTACCAAAACAAAACTTGCCTACTAAGCTAAAACCTCCAAAGATCAAACAATCAATGGTAATGGAAGGAATGAGAGAAGAGAAATGGATAAAGCACTATTCATCTCGCCACACTATACTTTTAGTTGGCGAAGGAGATTTCTCCTTTTCATGGTGTTCCAAAATGTATTGAAAATGTAATAATGCCTTATTAGCAGCTTCTTGAGTTTCTTCAAGAGTAAAACCCTTAATTAATAATTCAATTCATATATTTTGGCGAAGCGAAAGGAATTCCCATAATAGTTTTGCAAAATATAATTCAGATTCCTTTGGCCTTTGATCAGTACTAATTAAGTATTCCTTTTTCTTATGTATATGTTAGCGAAATACGATTGTGATGATAATTTGATGATCGATGCGTAAATATTAATATTCCCGTGTTTTCGTTTACGTTGAACGTAGTTATCAGAATTATATATATTAATTCGTTTAACTGAATGAATCTGATGATGCAGATGAGTTGGTGATGAAATACAAGGATGTGAAAGTGAATTTGGGAGATCTGGAATACCTAGGGGCATCCCTTTTACATGGAGTTGATGCAACCACGATGAAGTTTCATCCTCGTCTCCACCGCAAGAAATTTCACCGGATTATTTATAACTTTCCGCATGCAGGGTTTCACGGCCGTGAAACCAATCCCGATGTTATTATGTAATTAAGCTTCTCTATATATATATACATATATATTCTTGTTTGTTGTCAATTGTCATGCACAAAGGTAAAAACATATATGCGTAAAACTTGAATATAATTTCCGTGTGCAGGATGCATAGGAATCTCGTCCGCGGATTCTTGTGGAACGCGAGAAGCATGCTGTCGCCTGATGGCGAAGTTCATATCAACCACAAATTCACTGCTCCATATCACAGTTGGGGAGTCGCAGATATAGCATTAGAGTGCCAATTAGTCCTTGTTGGGCTACATGATTTCAAGATCGAACACTACCCAGGCTACAAAAATAAACGAGGATCGGGTTCCAGATGTGACAAGCCGTTTCCACTGGGCGATTGCAGAACCTTTATATTCAAACTCCGCCCTGTAACCGCAATATTCCTGAAAATGGAGTCTCGAAAACTCCACGCCCCCCCTATTCATCCAGGTACCGTTCGAATATATATAAAAGTACACCCAATACGCCCTTTTGTTGAGTTGTTGTTCGATGTTTCAGAGCTTTTTGTTAGGGTTTTTCTTCGTATTTTGTATTTATAGGATTTTATTCGTTTTCATTTGCATTTTATTAGGTACCATGGGACGAGCAAAAAGTACCGAGGAAATCGAAAAGAAGTGCAGTAAAAGGGCAATAGGATGCAACTTCTGCACCGGGCACGTTAGCGCTTCGATCAGCAAGCGCTCGCGCGCATGAGAAAATTAATGCGATGGATCGATGATGGTAAATGTGTCGTGTAAATATTGCTATTTTGAGTTGGGGTGTAATTAGTATAGTATCCTGCGTTTTGTACGATAGATTGAACTTGGAAGTGATCTACGTGAAGATAATTGTATGTATTTTAACTTTGTTTATTTATAATTTCTAGCTTGCATGTGAAAAATGCATTCGAGTTAATATGCACGTGTAAATTATTGTAATGTCTTATTCTCTCTTTAGTTATTATGATCGACACTTAACAAGTTAACTAAAATATTATAATTAATTGCTCTTAATCAATATAATATGATTAGTTATAACTTATAAATTAAAACTCAAAATTAATATTATTGCATATATAAATAAATAAATAAAACACCAATCACACAGCAAGCAGTAAATAAAAGAAGAAAAGATCGACAGAAGAGGCGAATCTTTTCACTGTGTTGTAATGATTTTTACTCCGAAATTATAAAAAGACTGAATAAAAAGGCTTTTGCAAGAGAAGATAGATTGATTGATGGGTCTGCCCTACTATTATTTAAAACACATTAATTAGGAATTAAAGAAAATGAAATAATAAAGATTAGAAGAAATATATATAATATATATAGTAGATCTGTATAGATTTGTATGAGTTAATTCGAAGAATTATAAAAGCAAAGATAATGATAAAGTCTTGAGTCACGTGGATCATCAATTTTACACTGTTATCAACCTGCAGCTGGCTCTACTAGCTACTCACTACTACTTAAAATGGTTTTAAAATATATTGCGTGAAGATTTATTCTTTCTTTTTTGTTTACCAAGGCAATCCATCCGAGTGCAGTAGAAATCAATGATGAAATAACAGTAGTATTGAAAGAATTTAGGGTAAATTACAAAAATACCCCTTCGATTTGGTTAATACGACTATCCGTCTCAACTATATATGAATTTTCCTACACGTCCACTATTATGGTATCAAATTCAACATATAATCTTCTATGATTATGTGAAATGTTTTATAGCTTGTTCTCATTTTGTTCAAAAACACAGTTTCTGAACCACAATCTAATTTTTACAAACCAAGAAACACATCTTATGATGATCTTATTGTGTTAAAATGTGGAGCTAGAGCGGAATAATACGAGTAAAAATTAAAAAATATTTAACTAAATTTTGTCAGGGATAAAGATGAGTGCGTAAGAAAATTCATAATTGAAAGATAAATTATAATTATCCAAACCAAAGATGTTTTTTCATAATTTGAATAACTTGTGAAAAGATATTTACAGTGATTTGTATTATTGTGCTTTTGGTCCATCGAAAGGGTGTTTCTTATATAAACAACCCTTTCTCAATTAATTCTCCCTCACCCCCAAATTAATTAATAATTTAATTTGAATTTGAAACAAAAAAAAAAAAAAGCGAAGAATGGAGTACTCTGGTTTCATCCAACATTTGAGCAACGACTATGTAAATAATGAGAGGCCACACTATCCATTATCGCCACAATTGGGATACAATGCAGTTTCTTCTCAGAACACATCCCCTTTCGCTTACAATTACGATTACAGCTACTTCGGCATAACCTCGGAGGGCACTCGCCGGACTGTTAACCTCGTATCTCACCAGCTGTTTAGATCTCTCGCTTGACCGCGCATCGGAAATGCTTGCCTCGGCTGAAATTGCTGTTCCCCGGCGAGAATTCATCGGAAACTGCCGTCGGATTAAGCATTACAGTAGCGGCCGCGGTGATTTTTCGTTCTCCACTTGTTTGGCAAAAGCCTTCGGTTGTGCGTCGAATATGATTGCCACATCCCTTGATTCTCAACGTATGTGACTGTGTGTGTGTGTATATATATATATATATATATATATATATGTTATGGTTCGATTTATTGTATGTATATAATCGATCGATACACACACTCAAAGGTGTTTGTTGTATTTTGACAGGATTTTTGTTGTTGAATTATGCAAGTGCACTACCAAACCTAATGGAATTGAAGGCTAGGAAATGCAAGGTGATGCACGACATCGATGCAACTGTAATCACGAGCCATTCGATACCCGGGGAAATGAAATTCGATCGAATTGTATTCAACTTTCCGTTCGCTGGATTTTTCGACGACTTGCCCCGGGATTCTCAGCTGATGTTAGTTCTTAACCGAACACGTTCTTCAGATTAATAACTCCTAATTAGTTGTAATTGTGTATTTAATTTGTTCTTTGATGTATATACATGAATTGCAGACGTCACAAGGGACTTGTGAGCAAGTTTATGCAGAATGCGGTAGAGATGATGGGTGAGAATGGTGAGATCCACATACGTAACAAGACGACCGATTACTTCGAGGAATGGAATCTCGAAGTGTTCGGGTGGTTGCACAGGCTGCGTCTTGTAGAGACTGTGGATTTTGATCGTCTTGATTATCCGGGGTACGACACCAAGTATGGATTTGGGGGTGATGGTAATTTCAATTGCTACCCGAGCAAGACCTACAAATTTGCCCGTTAGTGAATCGTGACGTGCCGATCTTATTATTATTAGTATTGTTGTTGTTCAATTCTGTATTTTTTTCGTAATTGTTGGTAAATTGTGTTATGGTGTTTGGATTCCAAGGGTTAACTGGAATGGTTGATGTTAATGCAAGTGGTTTTGTACTGAACTTAGCCTTACTCTTTCGTATGCAGCATATATATATATGTTTCAACATTTGACAATTTTAGTAACAAAAAAAAAAAATCAAATTGTAATACGATAATATAAACTCATCCTGACAATGTATTAATAGAACACATCAGTATGGTGTCTTAGTTAAAATTAAATTAAGATTCAATTGCTGCAAGTCCATAATAAAAGACAGTAAGGAAGAAGGGGAAGTTCGATACATCTGATTTGAACCGTAGTTTGATTAAAATCATCAGGTGTACGTATATAGTACCATTATGCAACCAAAGAAAAACTCTTTCATAATATTTTTTTTTTATGTAATTTCTTAGAAATGAAGAACACCAACTTTGTAAACATTAATATCAAAAATGCATTGCACTTTTTTTTTTTCTTTATTTCTGTACATTCATTCATTTGTCCCCTTTGACCTAGGGAACTAGCTAGAAGAATATAACAAAGGGTTAATCCAACAGCCATCCTCCATTGGTCTCTTCATGTACTCAAGGATTAAATCAATTAAATCTCTAATCTTGAATTTAATCCCCATTAAGTAGCATATGCATGCTTCGATGCATCATTATATTCTCATGAAGGTCAAGAAAAAATGGGAAATCTCCACACTACTATAAGCAGCAGATTCTTTGGTAGTAAATCACACGCCGAAGAAAGTGATCAAACCCTACTTCATTACATGAGTGAGAAAAGATCCACCTTTCACAGTTTTATCTATGAAACTGTATTAGGGTTGGTGCAGAAACTCCGCTTCGTCTTCTCTCTTCTCAGGCCAAGATCAAAACCACCAAACCCTATTCTACCTATTCAAAACCCAGCACCGATTATCACCACTAGCAACGGTTCATCTGATTTCAGCACAGTCACAGATGATCAAGAATCTCACTGTGAAAAGATCATTATTGTTGAATCTTCTCAACAATCGCCGGCGCCGGAAAACAACCCAGCCACCGCCGCCGGAAACGAAATCTCCGCGGGTCATGTGCGGAATGCTGTACCTTTCGTACTACTGGAAGATGAGAGCACTGAGGTGGTGACGTCATCGTCACAAGGGAAATGTGAAGAAGAAGATCGGAGACGAGAAGAGGAGGTGGTTATGGTGAAGAAGACTGCGGTGGTGGTGGATGAAGGGAGGTGGATTAAGCACTACAGCAGCCGCCACGAGATACTGGTGGTGGGTGACGGCGATTTTTCCTTCTCAGCTTCTTTGGCGGTGGCTTTTGGCCGTGCTTCCAACATCATTGCAACTTCTCTCGATTCTAAAAGTACCAACCTACTTAATTCTCTCTCCCTTCAAATTTTTATTTAATTATAGAGTAGGTAATTAATCAGTTATTTACCCGGCAACATGATGACTATATATAGTAGAACCTCTTAAATTAATTAATAGCATCGCTGAAATAATTTTTTAAAAACAATATTAGCTCGATAATTTAATATTTCACTAAATTAATAGAATTTTGTCAGTTCCGACTCCGACTGTGTTAATTTAATTTATAGATATTTATCTGTATATATATCCCCTATTATATTACACTAATTTCCACACTCTTTTGTGATCAGATTTCTTGAAGAAAAATTACTGGAATGCTAAATCGAATATTGAGGAACTAAGGAGCAGGGGTTGCAAGGTCATTCATGGTGTTGATGCCACTGACATGGCGAGCCATCATTTGCTCGGTCACCTTAACTTTGATCGTATAGTTTACAACTTCCCCTACGCTGGATTTTTCGACCATTTGTCTCGAAAATCTCAACTTCGGTCAGCCCACATACATCGATTAGTTGCTCCGATTTTTGTTTGCATCTTAATTAAATTCTTAATTATATATGATCAATCACATATATATTCGACTAATTATTCGTATGTTTATTTGCAGACGTCACAGGAGGCTTGTGAGCTTATTTTTGAAGAACGCAAAACAAATGATTAATGAAGATGGTGAGATACACATATCGCACAAGACCAACGGTTTTCATGAAGAATGGAAGCTCGTGTCGATCGCTTCTTCGCACGGACTTAGGCTCATTGAATCTGTCGATTTTGATCTTGATGATTATCCGGGGTACAACACCAAGTATGGGTTCGGAGGTGACGATAATTTCAACTGCTACCCTAGCAATACCTATAAATTTGGATTATATATATATATATATATATATATATATATATATATATATATATATATATATATATATATATATATATATATATATATATTCCTTTATGTATGTTGAAGAAAAAGGGATTGATGGTACATCGTTGTTGTTGGAAAATTAGATGCTACATATGGTCATATGTTGATAGTTGTCTGCTGCCTAAATGCTCGCTTGTATTATAATTTGTTGATGAATTAACTAAAGTATTTTAGTTATTATGGCAAACACAGTCAAGTTTTGTACCATTACTACTAATAACAAATTAATTGTATTCATGACATATGGATCAATTTCAATCAAATTAATCTTTTCTTTTTGGAAATTAAATCAATCAACATGTATGATATAATATACTTCACATGTATGCTTATATATATACACCAAGTGTGAGAGTATAACTGGATGCTTATAAACTCTTTACATCTATGTTTTTCTACCTCAACTTAATCGATTGTAGAGTACAAATGGATGTAAATTTCTGAAATTCACCTCGTACGAAAAGGGTGTTAATGTAAGAAATCTACAAATTACAGCAGTGGATGTAATTATGGGAAAATGAGGATTTTTTTTATAAATAGACCTTACCTCAGTGGTGCAATTGTAATTTACGTAAAATTTTAATGCTCGGATTTTGTAACCAGAGTTTTTGAAGAAAAATTATCCGCGTGCTACATCCGACATTGACAAATTAAGGAGTAGGGGTTGCGAGGTGAAATTTGGTAATTGCTACTAATTAGCGCCACAAAAAAATTATGTATTTTTTTTTTCATCATTAAAGGTAATTACCCATTGGAATTCCTATTTGCGGTTTGAAAATTGCTACTTGCGGTTTATAATAAAACCCCAAAAAAAAAAACACTTTATCTCTCTAAAACCCCAAAACTTCCCAAAAAAATCCCAAACCCCCCCCCCCCCCCTCCCCCCCCCAAAACGCGTAAAAGCCCAACTTGGGCGCCCATTCGTGCAGTGCACGCCCATGTTGGGCGTGCAAGCTGCATTTGGGCGCCCGAGTTGGGCGTCCAGTGCAAAATTATTATTATTATTATTGTTATTTTTAATTGAACTCCCAAGATGGGCGCCCAAGGCGTGATCGCCCATCTTGGGCGTTCAAACATTTTTTTGCGAAAAAAAAACCCTACAAATCGATTTGTAGGGCTTTTTAACATGAAATTGGTTCCATAATCGACCTACCCAATTAATGTATATCGATTTGTAGGACTTTTTAACATGAAATTGGTTCCGTAATCGACCTACCCAATGCATATTACACATAAAAGAGTCGAAATTACATCAAAAAATCGAAGCCCAACCCTTCTTCAAGCTTGATTTCGAATTTTCGAATTTGGTTTTTTTTTTTTTTTTTTTGCTGTTTGCAGTTTTGGGGGGTTTTTGGATATTTTTAAAAGTTTTAGAGAGTTTTATTATAAACCACAAATAGCAATTTCGTGACCGTAATTAGCATTTCATTTCCGCATTAAACATATAATAGCCTTACTCTTTAAGCAAGCTCACTATTCACTATTTGTCATTAATGCCTTTTCCACTATTTAAAAAGTATATTACTATTGGCAGTCGTCCTTGATGTGATCTTTAGTCTTTTTCTTTTTCAGTTAATAATAATTAATAATTAACAACTTGGTGGATTAATGAATTAATTAACTTAATATTTGTACGGAGTGATGATCGTCGGTCTACTAATTAACTATTTGTAATCCTGAAGGAGGGAACTGTGGCAACTAACACTAAAGCAAATAAAATGATTTTTTTTTTAATTTGTGTCACTCATTACTCATCAAGTCTTTGTAAATAATAAATAAAGTCTTGCTAAATAACTCAACTATTAATGTAAATCCTCTTTATTTATCTCTCTCTCTCTCTCTCTCTTCTGCATCTTCATCAGATTTTCTCTGCAGCCAGTTAGATCTCCGACGATCAAGTGCTGGCCGATGATCCACTGCTTGTAGACGTTGATCGTTATTCAGTGCCGATCGCCGATCATTGGTAATTGCTTCAAAGCTTCTTCATATATAATTTGTTAATGTATATTCTTAGGAAATAAGTTAGGGATTTGATTTGATATACTTTACATAAGTTAGAGATTTGATTTGATATGCTTTACATAAGTTAGGAGATTTGATTTCATTGTAATTAGTAATTTCCTTGTATAGCTTTCTCTCTAAGTGTATAAATAGTGCCTCATATGGAGAAGAATACACATCAAATTTTTCTCAATTCAACTAACATGGTACCAAGAGCCAATCTCTGATCATCTAGCAATTTTTTTTGGTTTCATTGTGGTGTTCTCGTCTTTTTTTTTCTTTTCTCGCTTCCGCCGAAACACCATAAAACCACTGCTGTGCGTGCGTCATCGCTCCGATCCAGATTCTGATCATACCACCAAGATCGCCGTTAAACGATCTACACATCGGTGAAAACCAGACTGCCATCGGAGACCGCACGCGCCCTCACGCGCCCCGAGAAGGTCCTGCGCGCAGTCTCACGCGCCACCGTACCGCCGCCGAAGAATTTCACGCATTCACGCGCCGACACGCGCCGCTCACTCGCCGTCACGCGCCGTCACGCGCCAGGTACCGCCGCTGCAGAATTCACGCGCCGACACGCGCCCACGCGCCGACACGCGCCCACGCTCGCCCACGCGACCACGCGCTCACGCGCTCCACCCTTGGTTGGCTGCATCTTTGTGACGTCATCCGCACGTCATCACAGCCACATCACCACTG